CTGGTCAGAACTGGCTTTCAATATCGGAATCAGTAGACATACTACTGCCTTTCACCCAGAATCTGTCCTATTCGCATGCGCGAGGAGCGGGAATCAATCCCTCAGAAGACGACGAACGACGGACGTACCGGCGGCAGAGGCGGCGACGGGCGACGTCAGGTGACTGGCCGCGATGATGACAGCTGCGACGCGCGTCGGAAGAAACGGGGGTGGAGGGGGCGCATGGAAAGAGGGGTGAGAGGAGGCAGGGAGGGAGACAGGGGAGAGGGTGAGAGGCAGTGATAGGGGTGAGAGATTATCCCGGGATAGTGTGGGGTGCTGCTGCTATTACGTGACCTCCACGTAGCCTCCACGTCGGCTCCACGTGGGCTCCGTGTGGGCACCCGCGGCGTGCGAGAATCTACTGGCGTGAGAATACCCATTAAAATTTCGCTGTAAAAAGAAACACCCGCTGAGAGCACGCACCACCGATCACGAGGAGCAGCGGGAGCGAGCTTGGGTACGAGGTTGGCCGCAGCCGCCGCCGCCGGAAGCACAGATTCGAGGGCGTCGCCATGATTACGGTGGGGACGCCGGGGAGCACTTAGTGTAATAACGCGGACGATACGACTCGTACGATGTCGTTTATCGTTGTGTTGCACGATGGCCGTTGTGCACAGACTTAAGAGCGTCGTGAATGTAGTAATACTTACTGGCCCAGCTTATCGTCCCAATCTGAAGTATTAGCGAGGACGGTCTCTGTCGCCGGACACATTTGTGGCAATTGTAGTGTCTGGACCTATTAGTGGTACTAAGGCAGACGCAGGGAGGTCAGGACGAAATATCGCCTAGAAAGTCAAGAATCATCCGATGTGAACCCAAATTTCGTTATTCAGGCGCGACGGCAAAGGTCCTTACCCAGCCCAGATACCAGCTGACAATCTCTTCGCCTGACTCGTCACGTCAGATCAGGACTCGGGAGTGTGAGTCGAGCTGACCCTTCTGCTGGCATCGCCTGACAGAGTCCCTGGGGAGCGATCGTGCGTACATACACTCGGAAAGAAGGAATGCGGGGGCAAACGGGAAATGGAGGTGGGGTGGGGAAGAGGAGGCGGGGGGATGTTGGGGGAAGCTGGCGGGAGGGAGGGACAAGAAGGGGACAACGTGAGGGGGAGGGGAAAGGAGCGAAAGGGGGGAAATACAACGGAGCGGCAGTCTACGCAGTCAATCGGGCAAGAAAGGGAGCAAGCGGCAAGGGGGTGTGGGTGGCGGAGAATGTGGGACTAGTCTGCGGAAACGTAACCGCAAAATGCGGTAGGACAAGAAGAGGTTTCGGGCAATTTTGGATTCTTGCGGCGCGAACTCGCGACTCGGTTCGCAATGCTTGACGCTTGACTTGCGTTGCTGTGCTGGCTGCAGTGCAGCATCACTGTCAGCTCTGGATTGTGCTGAGTGGACTCCTTGGCACGTGTGCCATCAGCACAGCAACGATCTGCAGCGAATAGCGATAAAGCTCGTAACTGAGCCGATATTCTGTGTAGCAGAAGAGATACTAGGCATACCTTGCCCAAAAGGATATGCTTTCACATCCTACAATATCTACAACCACTTGCACTGCTATAGACACCAGAACCAATATTATATTTGCAAATAAAATTTAAACAGAACTAGCATCCTCGTCGTCAAATCATGCCTTAATGTTTTGGAGAACCGATGCAACCTTTGTGGCGTTCGCTCGTACAGTATCATAACACCCGCCACGGCTAAAGACAAGATGGTAGACGAGCGACGACGCATACGCTAGATGATTGTAACAGACAACAGGGCATCCATCTGGTCTGATTTCCAGAACGGAGGCCTTTTCTGGCATGAAGATGAGGTTGGTGAGTGCTGCCCCATGGCCTGCTATGAAGAGACGCGTGCGCCGAAACAACTCTCGAGCTGCAGCGGGGGAGAGGCAGGAAGGGGTGGGAGGGGAAGGGGAAGTGACAGGGAGGGGGGAGACGAGGTTGGCGAGAGCTGCCCCATGGCCTGCTATGAAGAGACGCATGCGCCGAAACAACTCTCGAGCTGCATAGATGGGCGTGGTTGGGGATGTACGAAGAGAAGATGGAAGATCAGAGGAGGAGGAGACAAGAAAGCAAGTGTATAAGAACACCATCGCGGACAGCAAGCAAAGACCTTCTTCTAAGGAGCCTCAATCATAGCCTCCAAAAGAACGATACGCTCACTGCTCGCAGCACAGCAGCAGCGCACCTTCCAGCGCATGCAGCAAGCCGGCGACCGTCTTTTGAGGCACCCCAAACCTTGGCTAAAAAAAATGTTACGCTCAGTGCTCAAAACACAGCAGCAGCGCACCTTCCAGCGCAGGCAGCGGGCCAGTGACCTTCCTTCACGGCACCTTCATAATCGCCCCAAAAGCTCGGTCTGCCCAATGTCCACATCACACACACAACATCGCACCTTCCAGCACAGACAGCGAGCCGGTGAACTTCACAATCCTCTCATTTGGAAACGCCCTCTCCACCACCTCCTCCACCTCCGCAAAGTTACTAATGGATCGCCGCTTAGCGGGTCGCTTGGCCAGCACCACCACCCAGTCGGGTGGCAGCGCCTGCGCCTGCTGGGGCGACAGCGGCGGCGGCGGGTGGTAGGACCAGTCGAGGCGGAAGAGGGGCAGCCCGCGTGGGTGCAGCAGGTGGGTGCGCCTGAGGTACTGCCAGAGAGCCTTGGAGGGGTTGCCACAGGTTTGGGCGATTGGCTGAAGCCAGGGGGAAGAGGGGGTGGTGAGGGGCGGGAGGGAGGAGGAAGAGGAAGGGAGGAAAGGCCTTGAGTACATTGAGAGGCAGCCTGCATGGGGGTGCAGCAGGTGGCTCCACCTCAAGAATTGCCAAAGCGGTTTAAAAGGGTTACTATAGGTCGGGTTAATGGGGCTGACAGAGCGGGAAGGCGGAGGGGGAGAGGGAGTAGAGGCGTGACGAACAGCTTGAGCGGTGTGGCAGGGAGAAAGGAGGGGGGCTTCTGCAGGTGCACCACGTGGTATGGTGTGGAGGACTGCCAAAGCGGTTCGGAGGCATAGTCATGCGAATGGGCAATGGGATGAAGACAGGGAGAGAAGTTAGTGGATTGCGGAGACACACAGCAGAGCAGGTGGGGAGTGTCACGAGGTAGAGACCCCTGTGAATCTTCAAGAGGGTTGTGTCACAAGGCAGACACCCTTGACTTTGACTGCGACCTGATTTTGCAGGGTGTTTTTGAGAATCAGAAAAGAGAAAGAGAGTAGCAGGTGGGATGTGTCCCAACGTAAACACCCTTGGCTGCGATTTTTGTAGAATTCTAAAAAAGTGATTTTACAGGGTGTTTTTGAGAATTATAAAAATATATATATGTATGTATATATATGTTTGTATATAGTAGCAGTTGGGATGTGCCCCAACGTTTACACCCTCGACTGCGAGCTGATCTGCCAATCGCCGCTCGTAGGTGCTGATAAGCAGCAGGGGGTGTGGACGACAGTGCGGAGCGGCAGAAGTAAGCAAGCATGAGCAAGCAAGCACGCATGGGCTACCAGCGCGGATATACCTCGTAGAGGGTTTCGACGAAGAAGAGATCCTGGGCTACGAGAGGAAGCACGCGCATGCCCTCGTACTTGATTCCTATGAGCGCCTCTCCGAACTGCTTGTACACCTCCCACTGCAAGGCAGGGAAGTGAAGAGCGGACGGGGAAAGATATGATCAGGTATGAGCCATGAGAGGCAGGACACACATACAGGAGAGGCAGCACGCGCATGCCCTCGTACTTGATGCCTATGAGGGCCTCTCCGAACTGCTTGTACACCTCCCACTGCAAGGCAGGGAAGTGAAGAGCGGACGGGGAAAGATATGATCAGGTATGAGCCATGAGAGGCAGGACACACATACAGGAGAGGCAGCACGCGCATGCCCTCGTACTTGATGCCTATGAGGGCCTCTCCGAACTGCTTGTACACCTCCCACTGCAAGGCAGGGAAGTGAAGAGCGGACGGGGAAAGATATGATCAGGTATGAGCCATGAGAGGCAGGACACACATACAGGAGAGGCAGCACGCGCATGCCCTCGTACTTGATGCCTATGAGGGCCTCTCCGAACTGCTTGTACACCTCCCAATGCAAGGCACAGAGATAAGAAAGGAAAGGGAAAAGAGATCGTCAGTAATAGGGAGGCGGCCCTTACATGCCTTAGTGCTTGAATTCAACAAGTTTTGTATACCAAAGCTCTTACATGCTTTCAATGTCTATACCAAAGCTCTTACATGCTTTCAATGTCTATACCAAAGCTCTTACATGCTTTCAATGTCTATACCAAAGCTCTTACATGCTTTCAATGTCTATACCAAAGCTCTTACATGCTTTCAATGTCTATACCAAAGCTCTTACATGCTTTCAATGTCTATACCAAAGCTCTCACATGCTTTCGATGTCTATACCAAAGCTCATACATGCTTTCAATGTCAAGATGTGGAAGCCAAAGCCTCGACAACTGCAGTTCAAATAATCTCCTCTTTGCAAGGACTCATTTGTCTGAGTGACCTACGCCTCAAAATAGACGTTTGGTTGGTGGTGGCAAGGACTGGTCACTTCAAATATTGAACCCACCTGAATCCGGCTGGCGAGGATGGGCGTGGAGAGCATGATGCGCGGCAGCAGCATCGTAGCACACACGTACACAGGCGTGTGCAAGCGTGTGCAGGCGTGTGCAGGCGTGTGCAGGCGTGTGCAGGCGTGTGCAGGCGTGTGCAGGCGTGTACAGGTTTTCAACTGTCAGCTCATTGAACCCACCTGCATGCGGCTGGCGAGGATCGGCGTGGAGGGCATCATGCGCGGCAGCAGCGGCGTAGCACACACGTATACAGGCGTGTGCAGGCGTGTGCAGGAGTGTACTACAGGAGTGTGCAGGCGTGTGCAGGAGTGTACTACAGGAGTGTGCAGGCGTGTGCAGGAGTGTACATGCTTTCAACTGTCAGTTCATTGAACCCACCTGCATGCGGCTGGCGAGGATCGGGGTGGAGGGCATCATGCGCGGCAGCAGCGGTGCAGCAGACGTGCGTACAAGCAGGAGTGCAAAGGAGTGCACAGGATTTACCTGTCAGTTCAGTGCCCACCTGCATGCGGCTGGCGAGGATCGGGGTGGAGGGCATCATGCGTGGCAGCAGCGGTGCAGCAGACGTGCGTACAAGCAGGAGTGCAAAGGAGTGCACAGGATTTACCTGTCAGTTCAGTGCCCACCTGCATGCGGCTGGCGAGGATGGGGGTGGAGTGCATCATGCGCGGCAGCAGCGGTGCAGCAGACGTGCGTACAAGCAGGAGTGCAAAGGAGTGCACAGGATTTACCTGTCAGTTCAGTGCCCACCTGCATGCGGCTGGCGAGGATCGGGGTGGAGGGCATCATGCGCGGCAGCAGCGGTGCAGCAGACGTGCGTACAAGCAGGAGTGCAAAGGAGTGCACAGGATTTACCTGTCAGTTCAGTGCCCACCTGCATGCGGCTGGCGAGGATGGGGGTGGAGTGCATGATGCGCGGCAGCAGCGGTGCAGCAGACGTGCGTACAAGCAGGAGTGCAAAGGAGTGCACAGGATTTACCTGTCAGTTCAGTGCCCACCTGCATGCGGCTGGCGAGGATCGGGGTGGAGGGCATCATGCACGGCAGCAGCGGTGCAGCAGACGTGCGTACAAGCAGGAGTGCAAAGGAGTGCACAGGATTTACCTGTCAGTTCAGTGCCCACCTGCATGCGGCTGGCGAGGATGGGGGTGGAGTGCATGATGCGCGGCAGCAGCGGTGCAGCAGACGTGCGTACAAGCAGGAGTGCAAAGGAGTGCACAGGATTTACCTGTCAGTTCAGTGCCCACCTGCATGCGGCTGGCGAGGATGGGGGTGGAGTGCATGATGCGCGGCAGCAGCGGTGCAGCAGACGTGCGTACAAGCAGGAGTGCAAAGGAGTGCACAGGATTTACTTGTCAGTTCAGTGCCCACCTGCATGCGGCTGGCGAGGATGGGGGTGGAGGGCATCATGCGCGGCAGCAGCGGTGCAGCAGACGTGCGTACAAGCAGGAGTGCAAAGGAGTGCACAGGATTTACTTGTCAGTTCAGTGCCCACCTGCATGCGGCTGGCGAGGATGGGGGTGGAGTGCATGATGCGCGGCAGCAGCGGTGCAGCAGACGTGCGTACAAGCAGGAGTGCAAAGGAGTGCACAGGATTTACTTGTCAGTTCAGTGCCCACCTGCATGCGGCTGGCGAGGGTGGGGGTGGAGTGCATCATGCGCGGCAGCAGCGGTGCAGCAGACGTGCGTACAAGCAGGAGTGCAAAGGAGTGCACAGGATTTACCTGTCAGTTCAGTGCCCACCTGCATGCGGCTGGCGAGGATCGGGGTGGAGGGCATCATGCGCGGCAGCAGCGGTGCAGCAGACGTGCGTACAAGCAGGAGTGCAAAGGAGTGCACAGGATTTACCTGTCAGTTCAGTGCCCACCTGCATGCGGCTGGCGAGGATGGGGGTGGAGTGCATGATGCGCGGCAGCAGCGGTGCAGCAGACGTGCGTACAAGCAGGAGTGCAAAGGAGTGCACAGGATTTACCTGTCAGTTCAGTGCCCACCTGCATGCGGCTGGCGAGGATCGGGGTGGAGGGCATCATGCGCGGCAGCAGCGGTGCAGCAGACGTGCGTACAAGCAGGAATGCAAAGGAGTGCACAGGATTTACCTGTCAGTTCAGTGCCCACCTGCATGCGGCTGGCGAGGATGGGGGTGGAGGGCATCATGCGCGGCAGCAGCGGTGCAGCAGACGTGCATACAAGCAGGAGTGCAAAGGAGTGCACAGGATTTACTTGTCAGTTCAGTGCCCACCTGCATGCGGCTGGCGAGGATGGGGGTGGAGTGCATGATGCGCGGCAGCAGCGGTGCAGCAGACGTGCGTACAAGCAGGAGTGCAAAGGAGTGCACAGGATTTACTTGTCAGTTCAGTGCCCACCTGCATGCGGCTGGCGAGGATCGGGGTGGAGTGCATCATGCGCGGCAGCAGCGGTGCAGCAGACGTGCGTACAAGCAGGAGTGCAAAGGAGTGCACAGGATTTACTTGTCAGTTCAGTGCCCACCTGCATGCGGCTGGCGAGGATGGGGGTGGAGTGCATCATGCGCGGCAGCAGCGGTGCAGCAGACGTGCGTACAAGCAGGAGTGCAAAGGAGTGCACAGGATTTACTTGTCAGTTCAGTGCCCACCTGCATGCGGCTGGCGAGGATGGGGGTGGAGTGCATCATGCGCGGCAGCAGCGGTGCAGCAGACGTGCGTACAAGCAGGAGTGCAAAGGAGTGCACAGGATTTACTTGTCAGTTCAGTGCCCACCTGCATGCGGCTGGCGAGGATGGGGGTGGAGTGCATCATGCGCGGCAGCAGCGGTGCAGCAGACGTGCGTACAAGCAGGAGTGCAAAGGAGTGCACAGGATTTACTTGTCAGTTCAGTGCCCACCTGCATGCGGCTGGCGAGGATGGGGGTGGAGTGCATCATGCGCGGCAGCAGCGGTGCAGCAGACGTGCGTACAAGCAGGAGTGCAAAGGAGTGCACAGGATTTACTTGTCAGTTCAGTGCCCACCTGCATGCGGCTGGCGAGGATGGGGGTGGAGTGCATCATGCGCGGCAGCAGCGGTGCAGCAGACGTGCGTACAAGCAGGAGTGCAAAGGAGTGCACAGGATTTACTTGTCAGTTCAGTGCCCACCTGCATGCGGCTGGCGAGGATGGGGGTGGAGTGCATCATGCGCGGCAGCAGCGGTGCAGCAGACGTGCGTACAAGCAGGAGTGCAAAGGAGTGCACAGGATTTACTTGTCAGTTCAGTGCCCACCTGCATGCGGCTGGCGAGGATCGGGGTGGAGTGCATGATGCGCGGCAGCAGCGGTGCAGCAGACGTGCGTACAAGCAGGAGTGCAAAGGAGTGCACAGGATTTACTTGTCAGTTCAGTGCCCACCTGCATGCGGCTGGCGAGGGTGGGGGTGGAGTGCATCATGCGCGGCAGCAGCGGTGCAGCAGACGTGCGTACAAGCAGGAGTGCAAAGGAGTGCACAGGATTTACCTGTCAGTTCAGTGCCCACCTGCATGCGGCTGGCGAGGATCGGGGTGGAGGGCATCATGCGCGGCAGCAGCGGTGCAGCAGACGTGCGTACAAGCAGGAGTGCAAAGGAGTGCACAGGATTTACCTGTCAGTTCAGTGCCCACCTGCATGCGGCTGGCGAGGATGGGGGTGGAGGGCATCATGCGCGGCAGCAGCGGTGCAGCAGACGTGCGTACAAGCAGGAGTGCAAAGGAGTGCACAGGATTTACTTGTCAGTTCAGTGCCCACCTGCATGCGGCTGGCGAGGATGGGGGTGGAGTGCATGATGCGCGGCAGCAGCGGTGCAGCAGACGTGCGTACAAGCAGGAGTGCAAAGGAGTGCACAGGATTTACTTGTCAGTTCAGTGCCCACCTGCATGCGGCTGGCGAGGATGGGGGTGGAGTGCATCATGCGCGGCAGCAGCGGTGCAGCAGACGTGCGTACAAGCAGGAGTGCAAAGGAGTGCACAGGATTTACTTGTCAGTTCAGTGCCCACCTGCATGCGGCTGGCGAGGATGGGGGTGGAGTGCATCATGCGCGGCAGCAGCGGTGCAGCAGACGTGCGTACAAGCAGGAGTGCAAAGGAGTGCACAGGATTTACTTGTCAGTTCAGTGCCCACCTGCATGCGGCTGGCGAGGATGGGGGTGGAGTGCATCATGCGCGGCAGCAGCGGTGCAGCAGACGTGCGTACAAGCAGGAGTGCAAAGGAGTGCACAGGATTTACTTGTCAGTTCAGTGCCCACCTGCATGCGGCTGGCGAGGATGGGGGTGGAGTGCATCATGCGCGGCAGCAGCGGTGCAGCAGACGTGCGTACAAGCAGGAGTGCAAAGGAGTGCACAGGATTTACTTGTCAGTTCAGTGCCCACCTGCATGCGGCTGGCGAGGATGGGGGTGGAGTGCATCATGCGCGGCAGCAGCGGTGCAGCAGACGTGCGTACAAGCAGGAGTGCAAAGGAGTGCACAGGATTTACTTGTCAGTTCAGTGCCCACCTGCATGCGGCTGGCGAGGATGGGGGTGGAGTGCATCATGCGCGGCAGCAGCGGTGCAGCAGACGTGCGTACAAGCAGGAGTGCAAAGGAGTGCACAGGATTTACTTGTCAGTTCAGTGCCCACCTGCATGCGGCTGGCGAGGATGGGGGTGGAGTGCATCATGCGCGGCAGCAGCGGTGCAGCAGACGTGCGTACAAGCAGGAGTGCAAAGGAGTGCACAGGATTTACTTGTCAGTTCAGTGCCCACCTGCATGCGGCTGGCGAGGATGGGGGTGGAGTGCATCATGCGCGGCAGCAGCGGTGCAGCAGACGTGCGTACAAGCAGGAGTGCAAAGGAGTGCACAGGATTTACTTGTCAGTTCAGTGCCCACCTGCATGCGGCTGGCGAGGATGGGGGTGGAGTGCATCATGCGCGGCAGCAGCGGTGCAGCAGACGTGCGTACAAGCAGGAGTGCAAAGGAGTGCACAGGATTTACTTGTCAGTTCAGTGCCCACCTGCATGCGGCTGGCGAGGATGGGGGTGGAGTGCATCATGCGCGGCAGCAGCGGTGCAGCAGACGTGCGTACAAGCAGGAGTGCAAAGGAGTGCACAGGATTTACTTGTCAGTTCAGTGCCCACCTGCATGCGGCTGGCGAGGATGGGGGTGGAGTGCATCATGCGCGGCAGCAGCGGTGCAGCAGACGTGCGTACAAGCAGGAGTGCAAAGGAGTGCACAGGATTTACTTGTCAGTTCAGTGCCCACCTGCATGCGGCTGGCGAGGATGGGGGTGGAGTGCATCATGCGCGGCAGCAGCGGTGCAGCAGACGTGCGTACAAGCAGGAGTGCAAAGGAGTGCACAGGATTTACTTGTCAGTTCAGTGCCCACCTGCATGCGGCTGGCGAGGATCGGGGTGGAGTGCATCATGCGCGGCAGCAGCGGTGCAGCAGACGTGCGTACAAGCAGGAGTGCAAAGGAGTGCACAGGATTTACTTGTCAGTTCAGTGCCCACCTGCATGCGGCTGGCGAGGATGGGGGTGGAGTGCATCATGCGCGGCAGCAGCGGTGCAGCAGACGTGCGTACAAGCAGGAGTGCAAAGGAGTGCACAGGATTTACTTGTCAGTTCAGTGCCCACCTGCATGCGGCTGGCGAGGATGGGGGTGGAGGGCATCATGCGCGGCAGCAGCGGTGCAGCAGACGTGCGTACAAGCAGGAGTGCAAAGGAGTGCACAGGATTTACTTGTCAGTTCAGTGCCCACCTGCATGCGGCTGGCGAGGATCGGGGTGGAGTGCATCATGCGCGGCAGCAGCGGTTCAGCAGACGTGCGTACAAGCAGGAGTGCAAAGGAGTGCACAGGATTTACTTGTCAGTTCAGTGCCCACCTGCATGCGGCTGGCGAGGATGGGGGTGGAGTGCATCATGCGCGGCAGCAGCGGTGCAGCAGACGTGCGTACAAGCAGGAGTGCAAAGGAGTGCACAGGATTTACTTGTCAGTTCAGTGCCCACCTGCATGCGGCTGGCGAGGATGGGGGTGGAGTGCATCATGCGCGGCAGCAGCGGTGCAGCAGACGTGCGTACAAGCAGGAGTGCAAAGGAGTGCACAGGATTTACTTGTCAGTTCAGTGCCCACCTGCATGCGGCTGGCGAGGATGGGGGTGGAGTGCATCATGCGCGGCAGCAGCGGTGCAGCAGACGTGCGTACAAGCAGGAGTGCAAAGGAGTGCACAGGATTTACTTGTCAGTTCAGTGCCCACCTGCATGCGGCTGGCGAGGATGGGGGTGGAGTGCATCATGCGCGGCAGCAGCGGTGCAGCAGACGTGCGTACAAGCAGGAGTGCAAAGGAGTGCACAGGATTTACTTGTCAGTTCAGTGCCCACCTGCATGCGGCTGGCGAGGATGGGGGTGGAGTGCATCATGCGCGGCAGCAGCGGTGCAGCAGACGTGCGTACAAGCAGGAGTGCAAAGGAGTGCACAGGATTTACTTGTCAGTTCAGTGCCCACCTGCATGCGGCTGGCGAGGATGGGGGTGGAGTGCATCATGCGCGGCAGCAGCGGTGCAGCAGACGTGCGTACAAGCAGGAGTGCAAAGGAGTGCACAGGATTTACTTGTCAGTTCAGTGCCCACCTGCATGCGGCTGGCGAGGATCGGGGTGGAGTGCATGATGCGCGGCAGCAGCGGTGCAGCAGACGTGCGTACAAGCAGGAGTGCAAAGGAGTGCACAGGATTTACTTGTCAGTTCAGTGCCCACCTGCATGCGGCTGGCGAGGGTGGGGGTGGAGTGCATCATGCGCGGCAGCAGCGGTGCAGCAGACGTGCGTACAAGCAGGAGTGCAAAGGAGTGCACAGGATTTACCTGTCAGTTCAGTGCCCACCTGCATGCGGCTGGCGAGGATCGGGGTGGAGGGCATCATGCGCGGCAGCAGCGGTGCAGCAGACGTGCGTACAAGCAGGAGTGCAAAGGAGTGCACAGGATTTACCTGTCAGTTCAGTGCCCACCTGCATGCGGCTGGCGAGGATGGGGGTGGAGGGCATCATGCGCGGCAGCAGCGGTGCAGCAGACGTGCGTACAAGCAGGAGTGCAAAGGAGTGCACAGGATTTACTTGTCAGTTCAGTGCCCACCTGCATGCGGCTGGCGAGGATGGGGGTGGAGTGCATGATGCGCGGCAGCAGCGGTGCAGCAGACGTGCGTACAAGCAGGAGTGCAAAGGAGTGCACAGGATTTACTTGTCAGTTCAGTGCCCACCTGCATGCGGCTGGCGAGGATGGGGGTGGAGTGCATCATGCGCGGCAGCAGCGGTGCAGCAGACGTGCGTACAAGCAGGAGTGCAAAGGAGTGCACAGGATTTACTTGTCAGTTCAGTGCCCACCTGCATGCGGCTGGCGAGGATGGGGGTGGAGTGCATCATGCGCGGCAGCAGCGGTGCAGCAGACGTGCGTACAAGCAGGAGTGCAAAGGAGTGCACAGGATTTACTTGTCAGTTCAGTGCCCACCTGCATGCGGCTGGCGAGGATGGGGGTGGAGTGCATCATGCGCGGCAGCAGCGGTGCAGCAGACGTGCGTACAAGCAGGAGTGCAAAGGAGTGCACAGGATTTACTTGTCAGTTCAGTGCCCACCTGCATGCGGCTGGCGAGGATGGGGGTGGAGTGCATCATGCGCGGCAGCAGCGGTGCAGCAGACGTGCGTACAAGCAGGAGTGCAAAGGAGTGCACAGGATTTACTTGTCAGTTCAGTGCCCACCTGCATGCGGCTGGCGAGGATGGGGGTGGAGTGCATCATGCGCGGCAGCAGCGGTGCAGCAGACGTGCGTACAAGCAGGAGTGCAAAGGAGTGCACAGGATTTACTTGTCAGTTCAGTGCCCACCTGCATGCGGCTGGCGAGGATGGGGGTGGAGTGCATCATGCGCGGCAGCAGCGGTGCAGCAGACGTGCGTACAAGCAGGAGTGCAAAGGAGTGCACAGGATTTACTTGTCAGTTCAGTGCCCACCTGCATGCGGCTGGCGAGGATGGGGGTGGAGTGCATCATGCGCGGCAGCAGCGGTGCAGCAGACGTGCGTACAAGCAGGAGTGCAAAGGAGTGCACAGGATTTACTTGTCAGTTCAGTGCCCACCTGCATGCGGCTGGCGAGGATGGGGGTGGAGTGCATCATGCGCGGCAGCAGCGGTGCAGCAGACGTGCGTACAAGCAGGAGTGCAAAGGAGTGCACAGGATTTACTTGTCAGTTCAGTGCCCACCTGCATGCGGCTGGCGAGGATGGGGGTGGAGTGCATCATGCGCGGCAGCAGCGGTGCAGCAGACGTGCGTACAAGCAGGAGTGCAAAGGAGTGCACAGGATTTACTTGTCAGTTCAGTGCCCACCTGCATGCGGCTGGCGAGGATGGGGGTGGAGTGCATCATGCGCGGCAGCAGCGGTGCAGCAGACGTGCGTACAAGCAGGAGTGCAAAGGAGTGCACAGGATTTACTTGTCAGTTCAGTGCCCACCTGCATGCGGCTGGCGAGGATGGGGGTGGAGTGCATCATGCGCGGCAGCAGCGGTGCAGCAGACGTGCGTACAAGCAGGAGTGCAAAGGAGTGCACAGGATTTACTTGTCAGTTCAGTGCCCACCTGCATGCGGCTGGCGAGGATGGGGGTGGAGTGCATCATGCGCGGCAGCAGCGGTGCAGCAGACGTGCGTACAAGCAGGAGTGCAAAGGAGTGCACAGGATTTACTTGTCAGTTCAGTGCCCACCTGCATGCGGCTGGCGAGGATCGGGGTGGAGTGCATCATGCGCGGCAGCAGCGGTGCAGCAGACGTGCGTACAAGCAGGAGTGCAAAGGAGTGCACAGGATTTACTTGTCAGTTCAGTGCCCACCTGCATGCGGCTGGCGAGGATGGGGGTGGAGTGCATCATGCGCGGCAGCAGCGGTGCAGCAGACGTGCGTACAAGCAGGAGTGCAAAGGAGTGCACAGGATTTACTTGTCAGTTCAGTGCCCACCTGCATGCGGCTGGCGAGGATGGGGGTGGAGGGCATCATGCGCGGCAGCAGCGGTGCAGCAGACGTGCGTACAAGCAGGAGTGCAAAGGAGTGCACAGGATTTACTTGTCAGTTCAGTGCCCACCTGCATGCGGCTGGCGAGGATCGGGGTGGAGTGCATCATGCGCGGCAGCAGCGGTTCAGCAGACGTGCGTACAAGCAGGAGTGCAAAGGAGTGCACAGGATTTACTTGTCAGTTCAGTGCCCACCTGCATGCGGCTGGCGAGGATCGGGGTGGAGTGCATCATGCGCGGCAGCAGCGGTGCAGCAGACGTGCGTACAAGCAGGAGTGCAAAGGAGTGCACAGGATTTACTTGTCAGTTCAGTGCCCACCTGCATGCGGCTGGCGAGGATCGGGGTGGAGTGCATCATGCGCGGCAGCAGCGGTGCAGCAGATGTGCGTACAAGCAGGAGTGCAAAGGAGTGCACAGGATTTACTTGTCAGTTCAGTGCCCACCTGCATGCGGCTGGCGAGGATCGGGGTGGAGTGCATCATGCGCGGCAGCAGCGGTGCAGCAGACGTGCGTACAAGCAGGAGTGCAAAGGAGTGCACAGGATTTACTTGTCAGTTCAGTGCCCACCTGCATGCGGCTGGCGAGGATCGGGGTGGAGGGCATCATGCGCGGCAGCAGCGGTGCAGCAGACGTGCGTACAAGCAGGAGTGCAAAGGAGTGCACAGGATTTACTTGTCAGTTCAGTGCCCACCTGCATGCGGCTGGCGAGGATCGGGGTGGAGTGCATGATGCGCGGCAGCAGCGGTGCAGCAGACGTGCGTACAAGCAGGAGTGCAAAGGAGTGCACAGGATTTACCTGTCAGTTCAGTGCCCACCTGCATGCGGCTGGCGAGGATGGGGGTGGAGGGCATCATGCGCGGCAGCAGCGGTGCAGTAGACGTGCATACAAGCAGGAGTGCAAAGGAGTGCACAGGATTTACTTGTCAGTTCAGTGCCCACCTGCATGCGGCTGGCGAGGATGGGGGTGGAGTGCATGATGCGCGGCAGCAGCGGTGCAGCAGACGTGCGTACAAGCAGGAGTGCAAAGGAGTGCACAGGATTTACTTGTCAGTTCAGTGCCCACCTGCATGCGGCTGGCGAGGATCGGGGTGGAGTGCATCATGCGCGGCAGCAGCGGTGCAGCAGACGTGCGTACAAGCAGGAGTGCAAAGGAGTGCACAGGATTTACTTGTCAGTTCAGTGCCCACCTGCATGCGGCTGGCGAGGATGGGGGTGGAGTGCATCATGCGCGGCAGCAGCGGTGCAGCAGACGTGCGTACAAGCAGGAGTGCAAAGGAGTGCACAGGATTTACTTGTCAGTTCAGTGCCCACCTGCATGCGGCTGGCGAGGATCGGGGTGGAGGGCATCATGCGCGGCAGCAGCGGTGCAGCAGACGTGCGTACAAGCAGGAGTGCAAAGGAGTGCACAGGATTTACTTGTCAGTTCAGTGCCCACCTGCATGCGGCTGGCGAGGATCGGGGTGGAGTGCATCATGCGCGGCAGCAGCGGTGCAGCAGACGTGCGTACAAGCAGGAGTGCAAAGGAGTGCACAGGATTTACTTGTCAGTTCAGTGCCCACCTGCATGCGGCTGGCGAGGATCGGGGTGGAGTGCATCATGCGCGGCAGCAGCGGTGCAGCAGACGTGCGTACAAGCAGGAGTGCAAAGGAGTGCACAGGATTTACTTGTCAGTTCAGTGCCCACCTGCATGCGGCTGGCGAGGATCGGGGTGGAGTGCATCATGCGCGGCAGCAGCGGTGCAGCAGACGTGCGTACAAGCAGGAGTGCAAAGGAGTGCACAGGATTTACTTGTCAGTTCAGTGCCCACCTGCATGCGGCTGGCGAGGATCGGGGTGGAGTGCATCATGCGCGGCAGCAGCGGTGCAGCAGACGTGCGTACAAGCAGGAGTGCAAAGGAGTGCACAGGATTTACTTGTCAGTTCAGTGCCCACCTGCATGCGGCTGGCGAGGATCGGGGTGGAGTGCATCATGCGCGGCAGCAGCGGTGCAGCAGACGTGCGTACAAGCAGGAGTGCAAAGGAGTGCACAGGATTTACTTGTCAGTTCAGTGCCCACCTGCATGCGGCTGGCGAGGATCGGGGTGGAGGGCATCATGCGCGGCAGCAGCGGTGCAGCAGACGTGCGTACAAGCAGGAGTGCAAAGGAGTGCACAGGATTTACTTGTCAGTTCAGTGCCCACCTGCATGCGGCTGGCGAGGATCGGGGTGGAGGGCATCATGCGCGGCAGCAGCGGTGCAGCAGACGTGCGTACAAGCAGGAGTGCAAAGGAGTGCACAGGATTTACTTGTCAGTTCAGTGCCCACCTGCATGCGGCTGGCGAGGATCGGGGTGGAGTGCATCATGCGCGGCAGCAGCGGTTCAGCAGACGTGCGTACAAGCAGGAGTGCAAAGGAGTGCACAGGATTTACTTGTCAGTTCAGTGCCCACCTGCATGCGGCTGGCGAGGATCGGGGTGGAGTGCATCATGCGCGGCAGCAGCGGTGCAGCAGACGTGCGTACAAGCAGGAGTGCAAAGGAGTGCACAGGATTTACTTGTCAGTTCAGTGCCCACCTGCATGCGGCTGGCGAGGATCGGGGTGGAGTGCATCATGCGCGGCAGCAGCGGTGCAGCAGACGTGCGTACAAGCAGGAGTGCAAAGGAGTGCACAGGATTTACTTGTCAGTTCAGTGCCCACCTGCATGCGGCTGGCGAGGATCGGGGTGGAGTGCATCATGCGCGGCAGCAGCGGTGCAGCAGACGTGCGTACAAGCAGGAGTGCAAAGGAGTGCACAGGATTTACTTGTCAGTTCAGTGCCCACCTGCATGCGGCTGGCGAGGATCGGGGTGGAGTGCATCATGCGCGGCAGCAGCGGTGCAGCAGACGTGCGTACAAGCAGGAGTGCAAAGGAGTGCACAGGATTTACTTGTCAGTTCAGTGCCCACCTGCATGCGGCTGGCGAGGATCGGGGTGGAGGGCATCATGCGCGGCAGCAGCGGTGCAGCAGACGTGCGTACAAGCAGGAGTGCAAAGGAGTGCACAGGATTTACTTGTCAGTTCAGTGCCCACCTGCATGCGGCTGGCGAGGATCGGGGTGGAGTGCATCATGCGCGGCAGCAGCGGTGCAGCAGACGTGCGTACAAGCAGGAGTGCAAAGGAGTGCACAGGATTTACTTGTCAGTTCAGTGCCCACCTGCATGCGGCTGGCGAGGATCGGGGTGGAGTGCATCATGCGCGGCAGCAGCGGTGCAGCAGACGTGCGTACAAGCAGGAGTGCAAAGGAGTGCACAGGATTTACTTGTCAGTTCAGTGCCCACCTGCATGCGGCTGGCGAGGATCGGGGTGGAGTGCATCATGCGCGGCAGCAGCGGTGCAGCAGACGTGCGTACAAGCAGGAGTGCAAAGGAGTGCACAGGATTTACTTGTCAGTTCAGTGCCCACCTGCATGCGGCTGGCGAGGATCGGGGTGGAGTGCATCATGCGCGGCAGCAGCGGTGCAGCAGACGTGCGTACAAGCAGGAGTGCAAAGGAGTGCACAGGATTTACTTGTCAGTTCAGTGCCCACCTGCATGCGGCTGGCGAGGATCGGGGTGGAGTGCATCATGCGCGGCAGCAGCGGTGCAGCAGACGTGCGTACAAGCAGGAGTGCAAAGGAGTGCACAGGATTTACTTGTCAGTTCAGTGCCCACCTGCATGCGGCTGGCGAGGATCGGGGTGGAGGGCATCATGCGCGGCAGCAGCGGTGCAGCAGACGTGCGTACAAGCAGGAGTGCAAAGGAGTGCACAGGATTTACTTGTCAGTTCAGTGCCCACCTGCATGCGGCTGGCGAGGATCGGGGTGGAGTGCATCATGCGCGGCAGCAGCGGTGCAGCAGACGTGCGTACAAGCAGGAGTGCAAAGGAGTGCACAGGATTTACTTGTCAGTTCAGTGCCCACCTGCATGCGGCTGGCGAGGATCGGGGTGGAGTGCATCATGCGCGGCAGCAGCGGTGCAGCAGACGTGCGTACAAGCAGGAGTGCAAAGGAGTGCACAGGATTTACTTGTCAGTTCAGTGCCCACCTGCATGCGGCTGGCGAGGATCGGGGTGGAGTGCATCATGCGCGGCAGCAGCGGTGCAGCAGACGTGCGTACAAGCAGGAGTGCAAAGGAGTGCACAGGATTTACTTGTCAGTTCAGTGCCCACCTGCATGCGGCTGGCGAGGATCGGGGTGGAGGGCATCATGCGCGGCAGCAGCGGTGCAGCAGACGTGCGTACAAGCAGGAGTGCAAAGGAGTGCACAGGATTTACTTGTCAGTTCAGTGCCCACCTGCATGCGGCTGGCGAGGATCGGGGTGGAGTGCATCATGCGCGGCAGCAGCGGTTCAGCAGACGTGCGTACAAGCAGGAGTGCAAAGGAGTGCACAGGATTTACTTGTCAGTTCAGTGCCCACCTGCATGCGGCTGGCGAGGATCGGGGTGGAGTGCATCATGCGCGGCAGCAGCGGTGCAGCAGACGTGCGTACAAGCAGGAGTGCAAAGGAGTGCACAGGATTTACTTGTCAGTTCAGTGCCCACCTGCATGCGGCTGGCGAGGATCGGGGTGGAGTGCATCATGCGCGGCAGCAGCGGTGCAGCAGACGTGCGTACAAGCAGGAGTGCAAAGGAGTGCACAGGATTTACTTGTCAGTTCAGTGCCCACCTGCATGCGGCTGGCGAGGATCGGGGTGGAGTGCATCATGCGCGGCAGCAGCGGTGCAGCAGACGTGCGTACAAGCAGGAGTGCAAAGGAGTGCACAGGATTTACTTGTCAGTTCAGTGCCCACCTGCATGCGGCTGGCGAGGATCGGGGTGGAGTGCATCATGCGCGGCAGCAGCGGTGCAGCAGACGTGCGTACAAGCAGGAGTGCAAAGGAGTGCACAGGATTTACTTGTCAGTTCAGTGCCCACCTGCATGCGGCTGGCGAGGATCGGGGTGGAGGGCATCATGCGCGGCAGCAGCGGTGCAGCAGACGTGCGTACAAGCAGGAGTGCAAAGGAGTGCACAGGATTTACTTGTCAGTTCAGTGCCCACCTGCATGCGGCTGGCGAGGATCGGGGTGGAGTGCATCATGCGCGGCAGCAGCGGTGCAGCAGACGTGCGTACAAGCAGGAGTGCAAAGGAGTGCACAGGATTTACTTGTCAGTTCAGTGCCCACCTGCATGCGGCTGGCGAGGATCGGGGTGGAGTGCATCATGCGCGGCAGCAGCGGTGCAGCAGACGTGCGTACAAGCAGGAGTGCAAAGGAGTGCACAGGATTTACTTGTCAGTTCAGTGCCCACCTGCATGCGGCTGGCGAGGATCGGGGTGGAGTGCATCATGCGCGGCAGCAGCGGTGCAGCAGACGTGCGTACAAGCAGGAGTGCAAAGGAGTGCACAGGATTTACTTGTCAGTTCAGTGCCCACCTGCATGCGGCTGGCGAGGATCGGGGTGGAGTGCATCATGCGCGGCAGCAGCGGTGCAGCAGACGTGCGTACAAGCAGGAGTGCAAAGGAGTGCACAGGATTTACTTGTCAGTTCAGTGCCCACCTGCATGCGGCTGGCGAGGATCGGGGTGGAGTGCATCATGCGCGGCAGCAGCGGTGCAGCAGACGTGCGTACAAGCAGGAGTGCAAAGGAGTGCACAGGATTTACTTGTCAGTTCAGTGCCCACCTGCATGCGGCTGGCGAGGATCGGGGTGGAGGGCATCATGCGCGGCAGCAGCGGTGCAGCAGACGTGCGTACAAGCAGGAGTGCAAAGGAGTGCACAGGATTTACTTGTCAGTTCAGTGCCCACCTGCATGCGGCTGGCGAGGATCGGGGTGGAGGGCATCATGCGCGGCAGCAGCGGTGCAGCAGACGTGCGTACAAGCAGGAGTGCAAAGGAGTGCACAGGATTTACTTGTCAGTTCAGTGCCCACCTGCATGCGGCTGGCGAGGATCGGGGTGGAGTGCATCATGCGCGGCAGCAGCGGTGCAGCAGACGTGCGTACAAGCAGGAGTGCAAAGGAGTGCACAGGATTTACTTGTCAGTTCAGTGCCCACCTGCATGCGGCTGGCGAGGATCGGGGTGGAGTGCATCATGCGCGGCAGCAGCGGTGCAGCAGACGTGCGTACAAGCAGGAGTGCAAAGGAGTGCACAGGATTTACTTGTCAGTTCAGTGCCCACCTGCATGCGGCTGGCGAGGATCGGGGTGGAGTGCATCATGCGCGGCAGCAGCGGTGCAGCAGACGTGCGTACAAGCAGGAGTGCAAAGGAGTGCACAGGATTTACTTGTCAGTTCAGTGCCCACCTGCATGCGGCTGGCGAGGATCGGGGTGGAGGGCATCATGCGCGGCAGCAGCGGTGCAGCAGACGTGCGTACAAGCAGGAGTGCAAAGGAGTGCACAGGATTTACTTGTCAGTTCAGTGCCCACCTGCATGCGGCTGGCGAGGATCGGGGTGGAGTGCATCATGCGCGGCAGCAGCGGTGCAGCAGACGTGCGTACAAGCAGGAGTGCAAAGGAGTGCACAGGATTTACTTGTCAGTTCAGTGCCCACCTGCATGCGGCTGGCGAGGATCGGGGTGGAGGGCATCATGCGCGGCAGCAGCGGTGCAGCAGACGTGCGTACAAGCAGGAGTGCAAAGGAGTGCACAGGATTTACTTGTCAGTTCAGTGCCCACCTGCATGCGGCTGGCGAGGATCGGGGTGGAGTGCATCATGCGCGGCAGCAGCGGTGCAGCAGACGTGCGTACAAGCAGGAGTGCAAAGGAGTGCACAGGATTTACTTGTCAGTTCAGTGCCCACCTGCATGCGGCTGGCGAGGATCGGGGTGGAGTGCATCATGCGCGGCAGCAGCGGTGCAGCAGACGTGCGTACAAGCAGGAGTGCAAAGGAGTGCACAGGATTTACTTGTCAGTTCAGTGCCCACCTGCATGCGGCTGGCGAGGATCGGGGTGGAGTGCATCATGCGCGGCAGCAGCGGTGCAGCAGACGTGCGTACAAGCAGGAGTGCAAAGGAGTGCACAGGATTTACTTGTCAGTTCAGTGCCCACCTGCATGCGGCTGGCGAGGATCGGGGTGGAGGGCATCATGCGCGGCAGCAGCGGTGCAGCAGACGTGCGTACAAGCAGGAGTGCAAAGGAGTGCACAGGATTTACTTGTCAGTTCAGTGCCCACCTGCATGCGGCTGGCGAGGATCGGGGTGGAGTGCATCATGCGCGGCAGCAGCGGTGCAGCAGACGTGCGTACAAGCAGGAGTGCAAAGGAGTGCACAGGATTTACTTGTCAGTTCAGTGCCCACCTGCATGCGGCTGGCGAGGATCGGGGTGGAGTGCATCATGCGCGGCAGCAGCGGTGCAGCAGACGTGCGTACAAGCAGGAGTGCAAAGGAGTGCACAGGATTTACTTGTCAGTTCAGTGCCCACCTGCATGCGGCTGGCGAGGATCGGGGTGGAGGGCATCATGCGCGGCAGCAGCGGTGCAGCAGACGTGCGTACAAGCAGGAGTGCAAAGGAGTGCACAGGATTTACTTGTCAGTTCAGTGCCCACCTGCATGCGGCTGGCGAGGATCGGGGTGGAGTGCATCATGCGCGGCAGCAGCGGTGCAGCAGACGTGCGTACAAGCAGGAGTGCAAAGGAGTGCACAGGATTTACTTGTCAGTTCAGTGCCCACCTGCATGCGGCTGGCGAGGATCGGGGTGGAGTGCATCATGCGCGGCAGCAGCGGTGCAGCAGACGTGCGTACAAGCAGGAGTGCAAAGGAGTGCACAGGATTTACTTGTCAGTTCAGTGCCCACCTGCATGCGGCTGGCGAGGATCGGGGTGGAGTGCATCATGCGCGGCAGCAGCGGTGCAGCAGACGTGCGTACAAGCAGGAGTGCAAAGGAGTGCACAGGATTTACTTGTCAGTTCAGTGCCCACCTGCATGCGGCTGGCGAGGATCGGGGTGGAGTGCATCATGCGCGGCAGCAGCGGTGCAGCAGACGTGCGTACAAGCAGGAGTGCAAAGGAGTGCACAGGATTTACTTGTCAGTTCAGTGCCCACCTGCATGCGGCTGGCGAGGATCGGGGTGGAGTGCATCATGCGCGGCAGCAGCGGTGCAGCAGACGTGCGTACAAGCAGGAGTGCAAAGGAGTGCACAGGATTTACTTGTCAGTTCAGTGCCCACCTGCATGCGGCTGGCGAGGATCGGGGTGGAGGGCATCATGCGCGGCAGCAGCGGTGCAGCAGACGTGCGTACAAGCAGGAGTGCAAAGGAGTGCACAGGATTTACTTGTCAGTTCAGTGCCCACCTGCATGCGGCTGGCGAGGATCGGGGTGGAGTGCATGATGCGCGGCAGCAGCGGTGCAGCAGACGTGCGTACAAGCAGGAGTGCAAAGGAGTGCACAGGATTTACTTGTCAGTTCAGTGCCCACCTGCATGCGGCTGGCGAGGATCGGGGTGGAGTGCATCATGCGCGGCAGCAGCGGTGCAGCAGACGTGCGTACAAGCAGGAGTGCAAAGGAGTGCACAGGATTTACTTGTCAGTTCAGTGCCCACCTGCATGCGGCTGGCGAGGATCGGGGTGGAGTGCATCATGCGCGGCAGCAGCGGTGCAGCAGACGTGCGTACAAGCAGGAGTGCAAAGGAGTGCACAGGATTTACTTGTCAGTTCAGTGCCCACCTGCATGCGGCTGGCGAGGATCGGGGTGGAGTGCATCATGCGCGGCAGCAGCGGTGCAGCAGACGTGCGTACAAGCAGGAGTGCAAAGGAGTGCACAGGATTTACTTGTCAGTTCAGTGCCCACCTGCATGCGGCTGGCGAGGATCGGGGTGGAGTGCATCATGCGCGGCAGCAGCGGTGCAGCAGACGTGCGTACAAGCAGGAGTGCAAAGGAGTGCACAGGATTTACTTGTCAGTTCAGTGCCCACCTGCATGCGGCTGGCGAGGATCGGGGTGGAGTGCATCATGCGCGGCAGCAGCGGTGCAGCAGACGTGCGTACAAGCAGGAGTGCAAAGGAGTGCACAGGATTTACTTGTCAGTTCAGTGCCCACCTGCATGCGGCTGGCGAGGATCGGGGTGGAGTGCATCATGCGCGGCAGCAGCGGTGCAGCAGACGTGCGTACAAGCAGGAGTGCAAAGGAGTGCACAGGATTTACTTGTCAGTTCAGTGCCCACCTGCATGCGGCTGGCGAGGATCGGGGTGGAGTGCATCATGCGCGGCAGCAGCGGTGCAGCAGACGTGCGTACAAGCAGGAGTGCAAAGGAGTGCACAGGATTTACTTGTCAGTTCAGTGCCCACCTGCATGCGGCTGGCGAGGATCGGGGTGGAGTGCATCATGCGCGGCAGCAGCGGTGCAGCAGACGTGCGTACAAGCAGGAGTGCAAAGGAGTGCACAGGATTTACTTGTCAGTTCAGTGCCCACCTGCATGCGGCTGGCGAGGATCGGGGTGGAGTGCATCATGCGCGGCAGCAGCGGTGCAGCAGACGTGCGTACAAGCAGGAGTGCAAAGGAGTGCACAGGATTTACTTGTCAGTTCAGTGCCCACCTGCATGCGGCTGGCGAGGATCGGGGGTGGAGGGCATCATGCGCGGCAGCAGCGGTGCAGCAGACGTGCGTACAAGCAGGAGTGCAAAGGAGTGCACAGGATTTACTTGTCAGTTCAGTGCCCACCTGCATGCGGCTGGCGAGGATCGGGGTGGAGTGCATCATGCGCGGCAGCAGCGGTTCAGCAGACGTGCGTACAAGCAGGAGTGCAAAGGAGTGCACAGGATTTACTTGTCAGTTCAGTGCCCACCTGCATGCGGCTGGCGAGGATCGGGGTGGAGTGCATCATGCGCGGCAGCAGCGGTGCAGCAGACGTGCGTACAAGCAGGAGTGCAAAGGAGTGCACAGGATTTACTTGTCAGTTCAGTGCCCACCTGCATGCGGCTGGCGAGGATCGGGGTGGAGTGCATCATGCGCGGCAGCAGCGGTGCAGCAGACGTGCGTACAAGCAGGAGTGCAAAGGAGTGCACAGGATTTACTTGTCAGTTCAGTGCCCACCTGCATGCGGCTGGCGAGGATCGGGGTGGAGTGCATCATGCGCGGCAGCAGCGGTGCAGCAGACGTGCGTACAAGCAGGAGTGCAAAGGAGTGCACAGGATTTACTTGTCAGTTCAGTGCCCACCTGCATGCGGCTGGCGAGGATCGGGGGTGGAGGGCATCATGCGCGGCAGCAGCGGTGCAGCAGACGTGCGTACAAGCAGGAGTGCAAAGGAGTGCACAGGATTTACTTGTCAGTTCAGTGCCCACCTGCATGCGGCTGGCGAGGATCGGGGTGGAGTGCATCATGCGCGGCAGCAGCGGTGCAGCAGACGTGCGTACAAGCAGGAGTGCAAAGGAGTGCACAGGATTTACTTGTCAGTTCAGTGCCCACCTGCATGCGGCTGGCGAGGATCGGGGTGGAGGGCATCATGCGCGGCAGCAGCGGTGCAGCAGACGTGCGTACAAGCAGGAGTGCAAAGGAGTGCACAGGATTTACTTGTCAGTTCAGTGCCCACCTGCATGCGGCTGGCGAGGATCGGGGTGGAGGGCATCATGCGCGGCAGCAGCGGTGCAGCAGACGTGCGTACAAGCAGGAGTGCAAAGGAGTGCACAGGATTTACTTGTCAGTTCAGTGCCCACCTGCATGCGGCTGGCGAGGATCGGGGTGGAGTGCATCATGCGCGGCAGCAGCGGTGCAGCAGACGTGCGTACAAGCAGGAGTGCAAAGGAGTGCACAGGATTTACTTGTCAGTTCAGTGCCCACCTGCATGCGGCTGGCGAGGATCGGGGTGGAGTGCATCATGCGCGGCAGCAGCGGTGCAGCAGACGTGCGTACAAGCAGGAGTGCAAAGGAGTGCACAGGATTTACTTGTCAGTTCAGTGCCCACCTGCATGCGGCTGGCGAGGATCGGGGTGGAGTGCATCATGCGCGGCAGCAGCGGTGCAGCAGACGTGCGTACAAGCAGGAGTGCAAAGGAGTGCACAGGATTTACTTGTCAGTTCAGTGCCCACCTGCATGCGGCTGGCGAGGATCGGGGTGGAGTGCATCATGCGCGGCAGCAGCGGTGCAGCAGACGTGCGTACAAGCAGGAGTGCAAAGGAGTGCACAGGATTTACTTGTCAGTTCAGTGCCCACCTGCATGCGGCTGGCGAGGATCGGGGTGGAGTGCATCATGCGCGGCAGCAGCGGTGCAGCAGACGTGCGTACAAGCAGGAGTGCAAAGGAGTGCACAGGATTTACTTGTCAGTTCAGTGCCCACCTGCATGCGGCTGGCGAGGATCGGGGTGGAGTGCATCATGCGCGGCAGCAGCGGTGCAGCAGACGTGCGTACAAGCAGGAGTGCAAAGGAGTGCACAGGATTTACTTGTCAGTTCAGTGCCCACCTGCATGCGGCTGGCGAGGATCGGGGTGGAGTGCATCATGCGCGGCAGCAGCGGTGCAGCAGACGTGCGTACAAGCAGGAGTGCAAAGGAGTGCACAGGATTTACTTGTCAGTTCAGTGCCCACCTGCATGCGGCTGGCGAGGATCGGGGTGGAGGGCATCATGCGCGGCAGCAGCGGTGCAGCAGACGTGCGTACAAGCAGGAGTGCAAAGGAGTGCACAGGATTTACTTGTCAGTTCAGTGCCCACCTGCATGCGGCTGGCGAGGATCGGGGTGGAGTGCATCATGCGCGGCAGCAGCGGTGCAGCAGACGTGCGTACAAGCAGGAGTGCAAAGGAGTGCACAGGATTTACTTGTCAGTTCAGTGCCCACCTGCATGCGGCTGGCGAGGATCGGGGTGGAGTGCATCATGCGCGGCAGCAGCGGTGCAGCAGACGTGCGTACAAGCAGGAGTGCAAAGGAGTGCACAGGATTTACTTGTCAGTTCAGTGCCCACCTGCATGCGGCTGGCGAGGATCGGGGTGGAGTGCATCATGCGCGGCAGCAGCGGTGCAGCAGACGTGCGTACAAGCAGGAGTGCAAAGGAGTGCACAGGATTTACTTGTCAGTTCAGTGCCCACCTGCATGCGGCTGGCGAGGATCGGGGTGGAGTGCATCATGCGCGGCAGCAGCGGTGCAGCAGACGTGCGTACAAGCAGGAGTGCAAAGGAGTGCACAGGATTTACTTGTCAGTTCAGTGCCCACCTGCATGCGGCTGGCGAGGATCGGGGTGGAGTGCATCATGCGCGGCAGCAGCGGTGCAGCAGACGTGCGTACAAGCAGGAGTGCAAAGGAGTGCACAGGATTTACTTGTCAGTTCAGTGCCCACCTGCATGCGGCTGGCGAGGATCGGGGTGGAGTGCATCATGCGCGGCAGCAGCGGTGCAGCAGACGTGCGTACAAGCAGGAGTGCAAAGGAGTGCACAGGATTTACTTGTCAGTTCAGTGCCCACCTGCATGCGGCTGGCGAGGATCGGGGTGGAGGGCATCATGCGCGGCAGCAGCGGTGCAGCAGACGTGCGTACAAGCAGGAGTGCAAAGGAGTGCACAGGATTTACTTGTCAGTTCAGTGCCCACCTGCATGCGGCTGGCGAGGATCGGGGTGGAGTGCATCATGCGCGGCAGCAGCGGTGCAGCAGACGTGCGTACAAGCAGGAGTGCAAAGGAGTGCACAGGATTTACTTGTCAGTTCAGTGCCCACCTGCATGCGGCTGGCGAGGATCGGGGTGGAGTGCATCATGCGCGGCAGCAGCGGTGCAGCAGACGTGCGTACAAGCAGGAGTGCAAAGGAGTGCACAGGATTTACTTGTCAGTTCAGTGCCCACCTGCATGCGGCTGGCGAGGATCGGGGTGGAGTGCATCATGCGCGGCAGCAGCGGTGCAGCAGACGTGCGTACAAGCAGGAGTGCAAAGGAGTGCACAGGATTTACTTGTCAGTTCAGTGCCCACCTGCATGCGGCTGGCGAGGATCGGGGTGGAGTGCATCATGCGCGGCAGCAGCGGTGCAGCAGACGTGCGTACAAGCAGGAGTGCAAAGGAGTGCACAGGATTTACTTGTCAGTTCAGTGCCCACCTGCATGCGGCTGGCGAGGATCGGGGTGGAGTGCATCATGCGCGGCAGCAGCGGTGCAGCAGACGTGCGTACAAGCAGGAGTGCAAAGGAGTGCACAGGATTTACTTGTCAGTTCAGTGCCCACCTGCATGCGGCTGGCGAGGATCGGGGTGGAGTGCATCATGCGCGGCAGCAGCGGTGCAGCAGACGTGCGTACAAGCAGGAGTGCAAAGGAGTGCACAGGATTTACTTGTCAGTTCAGTGCCCACCTGCATGCGGCTGGCGAGGATCGGGGTGGAGTGCATCATGCGCGGCAGCAGCGGTGCAGCAGACGTGCGTACAAGCAGGAGTGCAAAGGAGTGCACAGGATTTACTTGTCAGTTCAGTGCCCACCTGCATGCGGCTGGCGAGGATCGGGGTGGAGTGCATCATGCGCGGCAGCAGCGGTGCAGCAGACGTGCGTACAAGCAGGAGTGCAAAGGAGTGCACAGGATTTACTTGTCAGTTCAGTGCCCACCTGCATGCGGCTGGCGAGGATCGGGGTGGAGTGCATCATGCGCGGCAGCAGCGGTGCAGCAGACGTGCGTACAAGCAGGAGTGCAAAGGAGTGCACAGGATTTACTTGTCAGTTCAGTGCCCACCTGCATGCGGCTGGCGAGGATCGGGGTGGAGTGCATCATGCGCGGCAGCAGCGGTGCAGCAGACGTGCGTACAAGCAGGAGTGCAAAGGAGTGCACAGGATTTACTTGTCAGTTCAGTGCCCACCTGCATGCGGCTGGCGAGGATCGGGGTGGAGTGCATCATGCGCGGCAGCAGCGGTGCAGCAGACGTGCGTACAAGCAGGAGTGCAAAGGAGTGCACAGGATTTACTTGTCAGTTCAGTGCCCACCTGCATGCGGCTGGCGAGGATCGGGGTGGAGTGCATCATGCGCGGCAGCAGCGGTGCAGCAGACGTGCGTACAAGCAGGAGTGCAAAGGAGTGCACAGGATTTACTTGTCAGTTCAGTGCCCACCTGCATGCGGCTGGCGAGGATCGGGGTGGAGTGCATCATGCGCGGCAGCAGCGGTGCAGCAGACGTGCGTACAAGCAGGAGTGCAAAGGAGTGCACAGGATTTACTTGTCAGTTCAGTGCCCACCTGCATGCGGCTGGCGAGGATCGGGGTGGAGTGCATCATGCGCGGCAGCAGCGGTGCAGCAGACGTGCGTACAAGCAGGAGTGCAAAGGAGTGCACAGGATTTACTTGTCAGTTCAGTGCCCACCTGCATGCGGCTGGCGAGGATCGGGGTGGAGTGCATCATGCGCGGCAGCAGCGGTGCAGCAGACGTGCGTACAAGCAGGAGTGCAAAGGAGTGCACAGGATTTACTTGTCAGTTCAGTGCCCACCTGCATGCGGCTGGCGAGGATCGGGGTGGAGTGCATCATGCGCGGCAGCAGCGGTGCAGCAGACGTGCGTACAAGCAGGAGTGCAAAGGAGTGCACAGGATTTACTTGTCAGTTCAGTGCCCACCTGCATGCGGCTGGCGAGGATCGGGGTGGAGTGCATCATGCGCGGCAGCAGCGGTGCAGCAGACGTGCGTACAAGCAGGAGTGCAAAGGAGTGCACAGGATTTACTTGTCAGTTCAGTGCCCACCTGCATGCGGCTGGCGAGGATCGGGGTGGAGTGCATCATGCGCGGCAGCAGCGGTGCAGCAGACGTGCGTACAAGCAGGAGTGCAAAGGAGTGCACAGGATTTACTTGTCAGTTCAGTGCCCACCTGCATGCGGCTGGCGAGGATCGGGGTGGAGTGCATCATGCGCGGCAGCAGCGGTGCAGCAGACGTGCGTACAAGCAGGAGTGCAAAGGAGTGCACAGGATTTACTTGTCAGTTCAGTGCCCACCTGCATGCGGCTGGCGAGGATCGGGGTGGAGGGCATCATGCGCGGCAGCAGCGGTGCAGCAGACGTGCGTACAAGCAGGAGTGCAAAGGAGTGCACAGGATTTACTTGTCAGTTCAGTGCCCACCTGCATGCGGCTGGCGAGGATCGGGGTGGAGTGCATCATGCGCGGCAGCAGCGGTTCAGCAGACGTGCGTACAAGCAGGAGTGCAAAGGAGTGCACAGGATTTACTTGTCAGTTCAGTGCCCACCTGCATGCGGCTGGCGAGGATCGGGGTGGAGTGCATCATGCGCGGCAGCAGCGGTGCAGCAGACGTGCGTACAAGCAGGAGTGCAAAGGAGTGCACAGGATTTACTTGTCAGTTCAGTGCCCACCTGCATGCGGCTGGCGAGGATCGGGGTGGAGTGCATCATGCGCGGCAGCAGCGGTGCAGCAGACGTGCGTACAAGCAGGAGTGCAAAGGAGTGCACAGGATTTACTTGTCAGTTCAGTGCCCACCTGCATGCGGCTGGCGAGGATCGGGGTGGAGTGCATCATGCGCGGCAGCAGCGGTGCAGCAGACGTGCGTACAAGCAGGAGTGCAAAGGAGTGCACAGGATTTACTTGTCAGTTCAGTGCCCACCTGCATGCGGCTGGCGAGGATCGGGGGTGGAGTGCATCATGCGCGGCAGCAGCGGTGCAGCAGACGTGCGTACAAGCAGGAGTGCAAAGGAGTGCACAGGATTTACTTGTCAGTTCAGTGCCCACCTGCATGCGGCTGGCGAGGATCGGGGTGGAGTGCATCATGCGCGGCAGCAGCGGTTGCAGCAGACGTGCGTACAAGCAGGAGTGCAAAGGAGTGCACAGGATTTACTTGTCAGTTCAGTGCCCACCTGCATGCGGCTGGCGAGGATCGGGGTGGAGTGCATCATGCGCGGCAGCAGCGGTGCAGCAGACGTGCGTACAAGCAGGAGTGCAAAGGAGTGCACAGGATTTACTTGTCAGTTCAGTGCCCACCTGCATGCGGCTGGCGAGGATCGGGGTGGAGTGCATCATGCGCGGCAGCAGCGGTTGCAGCAGACGTGCGTACAAGCAGGAGTGCAAAGGAGTGCACAGGATTTACTTGTCAGTTCAGTGCCCACCTGCATGCGGCTGGCGAGGATCGGGGTGGAGTGCATCATGCGCGGCAGCAGCGGTGCAGCAGACGTGCGTACAAGCAGGAGTGCAAAGGAGTGCACAGGATTTACTTGTCAGTTCAGTGCCCACCTGCATGCGGCTGGCGAGGATCGGGGTGGAGTGCATCATGCGCGGCAGCAGCGGTGCAGCAGACGTGCGTACAAGCAGGAGTGCAAAGGAGTGCACAGGATTTACTTGTCAGTTCAGTGCCCACCTGCATGCGGCTGGCGAGGATCGGGGTGGAGTGCATCATGCGCGGCAGCAGCGGTGCAGCAGACGTGCGTACAAGCAGGAGTGCAAAGGAGTGCACAGGATTTACTTGTCAGTTCAGTGCCCACCTGCATGCGGCTGGCGAGGATCGGGGTGGAGTGCATCATGCGCGGCAGCAGCGGTGCAGCAGACGTGCGTACAAGCAGGAGTGCAAAGGAGTGCACAGGATTTACTTGTCAGTTCAGTGCCCACCTGCATGCGGCTGGCGAGGATCGGGGTGGAGTGCATCATGCGCGGCAGCAGCGGTGCAGCAGACGTGCGTACAAGCAGGAGTGCAAAGGAGTGCACAGGATTCACTTGTCAGTTCAGTGCCCACCTGCATGCGGCTGGCGAGGATCGGGGTGGAGTGCATCATGCGCGGCAGCAGCGGTGCAGCAGACGTGCGTACAAGCAGGAGTGCAAAGGAGTGCACAGGATTTACTTGTCAGTTCAGTGCCCACCTGCATGCGGCTGGCGAGGATCGGGGTGGAGTGCATCATGCGCGGCAGCAGCGGTGCAGCAGACGTGCGTACAAGCAGGAGTGCAAAGGAGTGCACAGGATTTACTTGTCAGTTCAGTGCCCACCTGCATGCGGCTGGCGAGGATCGGGGTGGAGTGCATCATGCGCGGCAGCAGCGGTGCAGCAGACGTGCGTACAAGCAGGAGTGCAAAGGAGTGCACAGGATTTACTTGTCAGTTCAGTGCCCACCTGCATGCGGCTGGCGAGGATCGGGGTGGAGTGCATCATGCGCGGCAGCAGCGGTGCAGCAGACGTGCGTACAAGCAGGAGTGCAAAGGAGTGCACAGGATTTACTTGTCAGTTCAGTGCCCACCTGCATGCGGCTGGCGAGGATCGGGGTGGAGTGCATCATGCGCGGCAGCAGCGGTGCAGCAGACGTGCGTACAAGCAGGAGTGCAAAGGAGTGCACAGGATTTACTTGTCAGTTCAGTGCCCACCTGCATGCGGCTGGCGAGGATCGGGGTGGAGTGCATCATGCGCGGCAGCAGCGGTGCAGCAGACGTGCGTACAAGCAGGAGTGCAAAGGAGTGCACAGGATTTACTTGTCAGTTCAGTGCCCACCTGCATGCGGCTGGCGAGGATCGGGGTGGAGTGCATCATGCGCGGCAGCAGCGGTGCAGCAGACGTGCGTACAAGCAGGAGTGCAAAGGAGTGCACAGGATTTACTTGTCAGTTCAGTGCCCACCTGCATGCGGCTGGCGAGGATCGGGGTGGAGTGCATCATGCGCGGCAGCAGCGGTGCAGCAGACGTGCGTACAAGCAGGAGTGCAAAGGAGTGCACAGGATTTACTTGTCAGTTCAGTGCCCACCTGCATGCGGCTGGCGAGGATCGGGGTGGAGTGCATCATGCGCGGCAGCAGCGGTGCAGCAGACGTGCGTACAAGCAGGAGTGCAAAGGAGTGCACAGGATTTACTTGTCAGTTCAGTGCCCACCTGCATGCGGCTGGCGAGGATCGGGGTGGAGTGCATCATGCGCGGCAGCAGCGGTGCAGCAGACGTGCGTACAAGCAGGAGTGCAAAGGAGTGCACAGGATTTACTTGTCAGTTCAGTGCCCACCTGCATGCGGCTGGCGAGGATCGGGGTGGAGTGCATCATGCGCGGCAGCAGCGGTGCAGCAGACGTGCGTACAAGCAGGAGTGCAAAGGAGTGCACAGGATTTACTTGTCAGTTCAGTGCCCACCTGCATGCGGCTGGCGAGGATCGGGGTGGAGTGCATCATGCGCGGCAGCAGCGGTGCAGCAGACGTGCGTACAAGCAGGAGTGCAAAGGAGTGCACAGGATTTACTTGTCAGTTCAGTGCCCACCTGCATGCGGCTGGCGAGGATCGGGGTGGAGTGCATCATGCGCGGCAGCAGCGGTGCAGCAGACGTGCGTACAAGCAGGAGTGCAAAGGAGTGCACAGGATTTACTTGTCAGTTCAGTGCCCACCTGCATGCGGCTGGCGAGGATCGGGGTGGAGTGCATCATGCGCGGCAGCAGCGGTGCAGCAGACGTGCGTACAAGCAGGAGTGCAAAGGAGTGCACAGGATTTACTTGTCAGTTCAGTGCCCACCTGCATGCGGCTGGCGAGGATCGGGGTGGAGTGCATCATGCGCGGCAGCAGCGGTGCAGCAGACGTGCGTACAAGCAGGAGTGCAAAGGAGTGCACAGGATTTACTTGTCAGTTCAGTGCCCACCTGCATGCGGCTGGCGAGGATCGGGGTGGAGTGCATCATGCGCGGCAGCAGCGGTGCAGCAGACGTGCGTACAAGCAGGAGTGCAAAGGAGTGCACAGGATTTACTTGTCAGTTCAGTGCCCACCTGCATGCGGCTGGCGAGGATGGGGGTGGAGGGCATCATGCGCGGCAGCAGCGGTGCAGCAGACGTGCGTACAAGCAGGAGTGCAAAGGAGTGCACAGGATTTACTTGTCAGTTCAGTGCCCACCTGCATGCGGCTGGCGAGGATCGGGGTGGAGTGCATCATGCGCGGCAGCAGCGGTTCAGCAGACGTGCGTACAAGCAGGAGTGCAAAGGAGTGCACAGGATTTACTTGTCAGTTCAGTGCCCACCTGCATGCGGCTGGCGAGGATCGGGGTGGAGTGCATCATGCGCGGCAGCAGCGGTTCAGCAGACGTGCGTACAAGCAGGAGTGCAAAGGAGTGCACAGGATTTACTTGTCAGTTCAGTGCCCACCTGCATGCGGCTGGCGAGGATCGGGGTGGAGTGCATCATGCGCGGCAGCAGCGGTTCAGCAGACGTGCGTACAAGCAGGAGTGCAAAGGAGTGCACAGGATTTACTTGTCAGTTCAGTGCCCACCTGCATGCGGCTGGCGAGGATCGGGGTGGAGTGCATCATGCGCGGCAGCAGCGGTGCAGCAGACGTGCGTACAAGCAGGAGTGCAAAGGAGTGCACAGGATTTACTTGTCAGTTCAGTGCCCACCTGCATGCGGCTGGCGAGGATCGGGGTGGAGTGCATCATGCGCGGCAGCAGCGGTGCAGCAGACGTGCGTACAAGCAGGAGTGCAAAGGAGTGCACAGGATTTACTTGTCAGTTCAGTGCCCACCTGCATGCGGCTGGCGAGGATCGGGGTGGAGTGCATCATGCGCGGCAGCAGCGGTGCAGCAGACGTGCGTACAAGCAGGAGTGCAAAGGAGTGCACAGGATTTACTTGTCAGTTCAGTGCCCACCTGCATGCGGCTGGCGAGGATCGGGGTGGAGTGCATCATGCGCGGCAGCAGCGGTGCAGCAGACGTGCGTACAAGCAGGAGTGCAAAGGAGTGCACAGGATTTACTTGTCAGTTCAGTGCCCACCTGCATGCGGCTGGCGAGGATCGGGGTGGAGTGCATCATGCGCGGCAGCAGCGGTGCAGCAGACGTGCGTACAAGCAGGAGTGCAAAGGAGTGCACAGGATTCACTTGTCAGTTCAGTGCCCACCTGCATGCGGCTGGCGAGGATCGGGGTGGAGTGCATCATGCGCGGCAGCAGCGGTGCAGCAGACGTGCGTACAAGCAGGAGTGCAAAGGAGTGCACAGGATTTACTTGTCAGTTCAGTGCCCACCTGCATGCGGCTGGCGAGGATCGGGGTGGAGTGCATCATGCGCGGCAGCAGCGGTGCAGCAGACGTGCGTACAAGCAGGAGTGCAAAGGAGTGCACAGGATTTACTTGTCAGTTCAGTGCCCACCTGCATGCGGCTGGCGAGGATCGGGGTGGAGTGCATCATGCGCGGCAGCAGCGGTGCAGCAGACGTGCGTACAAGCAGGAGTGCAAAGGAGTGCACAGGATTTACTTGTCAGTTCAGTGCCCACCTGCATGCGGCTGGCGAGGATCGGGGTGGAGTGCATCATGCGCGGCAGCAGCGGTGCAGCAGACGTGCGTACAAGCAGGAGTGCAAAGGAGTGCACAGGATTTACTTGTCAGTTCAGTGCCCACCTGCATGCGGCTGGCGAGGATCGGGGTGGAGTGCATCATGCGCGGCAGCAGCGGTGCAGCAGACGTGCGTACAAGCAGGAGTGCAAAGGAGTGCACAGGATTCACTTGTCAGTTCAGTGCCCACCTGCATGCGGCTGGCGAGGATCGGGGTGGAGTGCATCATGCGCGGCAGCAGCGGTGCAGCAGACGTGCGTACAAGCAGGAGTGCAAAGGAGTGCACAGGATTTACTTGTCAGTTCAGTGCCCACCTGCATGCGGCTGGCGAGGATCGGGGTGGAGTGCATCATGCGCGGCAGCAGCGGTGCAGCAGACGTGCGTACAAGCAGGAGTGCAAAGGAGTGCACAGGATTTACTTGTCAGTTCAGTGCCCACCTGCATGCGGCTGGCGAGGATCGGGGTGGAGTGCATCATGCGCGGCAGCAGCGGTGCAGCAGACGTGCGTACAAGCAGGAGTGCAAAGGAGTGCACAGGATTTACTTGTCAGTTCAGTGCCCACCTGCATGCGGCTGGCGAGGATCGGGGTGGAGTGCATCATGCGCGGCAGCAGCGGTGCAGCAGACGTGCGTACAAGCAGGAGTGCAAAGGAGTGCACAGGATTTACTTGTCAGTTCAGTGCCCACCTGCATGCGGCTGGCGAGGATCGGGGTGGAGTGCATCATGCGCGGCAGCAGCGGTGCAGCAGACGTGCGTACAAGCAGGAGTGCAAAGGAGTGCACAGGATTTACTTGTCAGTTCAGTGCCCACCTGCATGCGGCTGGCGAGGATCGGGGTGGAGTGCATCATGCGCGGCAGCAGCGGTGCAGCAGACGTGCGTACAAGCAGGAGTGCAAAGGAGTGCACAGGATTTACTTGTCAGTTCAGTGCCCACCTGCATGCGGCTGGCGAGGATCGGGGTGGAGTGCATCATGCGCGGCAGCAGCGGTGCAGCAGACGTGCGTACAAGCAGGAGTGCAAAGGAGTGCACAGGATTTACTTGTCAGTTCAGTGCCCACCTGCATGCGGCTGGCGAGGATCGGGGTGGAGTGCATCATGCGCGGCAGCAGCGGTGCAGCAGACGTGCGTACAAGCAGGAGTGCAAAGGAGTGCACAGGATTTACTTGTCAGTTCAGTGCCCACCTGCATGCGGCTGGCGAGGATCGGGGTGGAGTGCATCATGCGCGGCAGCAGCGGTGCAGCAGACGTGCGTACAAGCAGGAGTGCAAAGGAGTGCACAGGATTTACTTGTCAGTTCAGTGCCCACCTGCATGCGGCTGGCGAGGATCGGGGTGGAGGGCATCATGCGCGGCAGCAGCGGCGCAGCGACGAGGAGCAGAGGCATGGTTTCGGCGACAAAGTGGTAGAAGTTGAATCCGTACGAGTTGCTCCACGTGAAGGCCGCTGGTAGTACATGCACCTGCGGCTCTGCTGAAAAGGATATCTGCGGTGGGGGTGGGAAGGGGGAGGGAGGAGTGAGAAGAGCCGGCGAGGAGCAAAGGCACGGTTTCTGCAAGGAAGTTGCTTAGAAGTTGCTTAGAAGTTGCTCCACGTGAACGTGTTGAAAGTCCAATGGAGCCCCAGACAGGACAGCAGCCATATCTGAAAATCCAACGTTTACGTGCTGATTCAACTGTAAAAATTGTTGTAGAAGCTGCTTCACGTGAACGAGTTGGAAATCCCTTCCCCTCACCTCATTCGAATTCCCCTGTCCCTCATCTCAAGGCAAGCTCCTGCCCCTCACCTCGTTGAACCTGCCACAGCCGGGCCGCACGAATCGGTGCGTGCGGTTGAACACGTAGCCCTTGTCTGTCACATACGCGCCCTTCACCTCAAACATCTGCAGCGCCATGGCACGCCCACCAGTCCTACCAGGCCTATCAGGGACAGTAAAAACCCGTCTTTCCTCACCTAAATCAAAGCCAGCTCACCTCATTCAAAACCCCGTCTCCCCGTCTCTCACCTCGTTAAACCTGCCACAGCCGGGCCGCACAAATCGGTGAGTGCGGTTGAACACGTAGCCCTTGTCCGTCACATACGCGCCATTCACCTCAAACATCTGCAGCGCCATGGCGTCCCGCGGGTTGAAATCCTCCCTATGCGAGCACGACTCGTCATACCCGTCCGATACATGCTTCCGCGTGCGCGGATCCAAGCCCGCCGTGGCGTTTCTTTTCGGGCAGTTCACGGGTGGGTCGAGGAAAACTCGGTCCGGGTCGACCAGGTCCGGGTTCCAGCAGGCGCGGAGGTTCGGGAAGGCCGGGCCGCAGGAGGTTAGGGCGGGACACGTGTCGCCGTGGCAGTGGGCGAGAGTGCCCCAGTGCGTGTCGTGCTCGTGGTACTGTAGCAGCACGATTGGCCGGTTGGAGGAGTTGTAGGCGAATCCGAGGGGTTCTATGAAGAGATTGGTTCTCTCTGGATGGTTCCTGCAGGGGGGGGGGAGAGAGGGAAGTGGAGGGATGGGAAAGAGATTGAGGAAGTGTGAGGGGAGAGGACTTTTGCGGCGCCTCACACGAGCCGAGGGGTTCTCTCTGGATGGTTCCTGCAGGGGGGAGAGAGAGAAGGGGAGTGATAAGGGAGTCACTTTTGAGAATCCTTAAAAAACTTGAATTTCTCTGGATAGTTTCTGAAGAGAGCGATCAAGGAACGTGATTTGGGAGAGAACGATGGGACGAGATGCAGTGATATGAAGCACGCTCACCTGATATGAAGCACGCTCACCTGATATGAAGCACGCTCACCTGATACGAAGCACGCTCACCTGATACGAAGCACGCTCACCTGATACGAAGCACGCTCACCTGATACGAAGCACGCTCACCTGATACGAAGCACGCTCACCTGATACGAAGCACGCTCACCTGACGGGGAGAGGCACGTAGTACTGCAGCTGGGCTTCAAACGCCTTCACGTGCCCCACCAGCTGCAGCTGCCTCCGATTATCGTCGGCGCTGTCGCTCGCATGATCATCATGCGAAGAATGATCTTTCGCATGATGGGTGCTACCGTCACGGTGCCGCCTGTCGTCGATGGTATGATTATTGGAATGGAGGATGTGGGCCTGGAGAGGCAGGCGGGAGGGATTGCATCGAGACGATTTTAAAGTCGACTAAAAAAGGATGATCCTTCGCATGATGGGTGCTACCGTCACGGTGCCAACTGTTGTTGTCGATGGTACGACTACGGGCCTGGGGGATGCGGGCCTGGAGAGGCAGGCGGGAGGGATTGCATTAAGACAATTTTTGAGTCGACTTAAAAAGGATGATCCTTCACATGATGGGTGCTACTAGCACCGGTAGTACCGGGCCAACCGTCGTCGATAGTACGATTACGGGGATGCAGAATGCGGGCCTGGAGAGGCAGGCGGGAGGGATTACATCGGACACGATTTGAAAAGGTTGGCGACAGACAGTCGGCGTTCTGGCGACAAAAGCGATTGGCGACTCGCCATCGGATGCGACGGCGCGCTTGGAAATCCAACGCGACGCTGCGCGATGCGAGAGAGAAAAATCACACCTACTGGATCATCAAGCAGTTTCGTGGAAGCTGTACGTGTCACGTCTGTCCCAACCACGAGAATAACGAGGTAGAGATATAGCTGCGCATGCAAGCTGAGCAAACAACAGCGTACGCGGCCAGGTAAAACCTCGTCTCGGAGACACTTCCTGCTCGCCATTTGATAAAGGGTAAGCATTTAGGTGGACCAGCATGGAAATAGATCTCTGAAATCCCAAGTTGAGAGCTCATCGCTTCGGTTTTCTCCCTAATCCCCCGCGTAAGAAGAATCTGTGCGACACAGTTGGGAGAAATCAGGACCAGGGTAGTTGAGTTGAGACTTTGGACGGAAAACCCGACGACATTCGTTGCAGAATGGGACGGGAGGACGGGACGGGACGGGACCAGACTGGGGTGGGTGAGAACGGCGACGGCTAATACATGTACATACATGAAGTCGGAGAAAGTTACTAATGAGGTGTCACCTCATCTATACTCCCTGCGAACCAATCCCATGGGCCCCTGCCTCGCCCGATCAGCCTGATCGGCCTGCCGTCATTGGCCTGATCGGCCTGCCGTCATTGGTGTGATCGGCCTGATCGACCCGATCGGCCCGAATCGCAACGTGAAACGGTCGAAACTGCCAGGTGGCAGATGCCAGGCGATTCCTGTACCCCATAAAAGAATACCCAGATACAACATTCTCATAAAATACGACACTAGGCAAGTCCAATGCAGTTGCTCGTCGTCATGCTACAGAATAAATAGACAGCTACTACCTCATGAACATTCCAGGCACATAACCTTTGGCATGATTACAGTGCTCGTTTTAACTAGTCCATTTCCAGCATTATTCGCAACCAAGTGCTTGCCAATGGCAACTAGTAGAAACGTTCGTCCAACAATACACATGAACAAAGTGACCTTTTGCAACCGCATGCTAATAGTTTTTAGGAGGGTATGTAACAGCACATGTCCAGATAAGATCCACGTCAGATTCGACAGTGACAGTTGGCGCAACAACAAGGTTTGACGTGCTGACTAGGCCGCCAAACCGCATTGGCGTGTTAGCTGGTGGGGAGGGGGTAATACATGGGAGGGGGAAGAGGGAGATGAGGGCGGAAGCAACGACGGGGAAGAGGGGGGAGAGAGGGAGGACAAAGAGGACAAAAAGGGTAAGGGAGTAAGTAGACTACCGTCATCTTCCAAATGTAAGCCCAGGTGGGCTTATAAAGAAACCGAACAAAACCATGGGGGTGGGGTGATACAGTAGTCGAATATTATTCGCGCATGGGACAATTAAAAGTACTATTTTCTAGTGTAGATTGTGAAAATCAGGTCGTTTTCTAACACAGCGCAAATCCGAAGAAGGGGTGCGCTATGAACGCACTATCCAGGATATAAGCCCAAGGGCTTTACCGAGGCCTGGGCTTATATTTGGGGGATGACATGACAGTAGGTGTGAGATCGTACGCGACACCATTTACACAACCACTTACAGCTACGACAACAGGTGCTCCAACCACTACACACCCCTTCAGACTACTCACATAGATTCCATTTCACCCCGGTTGTCGTGGTCCCATGCGATGGCTCCCCCACGGGGATCAATTCGCAGCGCAACCCCTCATGCTGCTACAGCTGGGACAACAGGTGCTCTAACCAGGTGACTTTTGAGTTGACTCAAAAGGCTCCCCCACGGGGATCAATTCGCAGCGCAACCCCTCATGCTGCTACAGCTGGGACAACAGGTGCTCTAACCAGGTGACTTTTGAGTTGACTCAAAAGGCTCCCCCACGGGGATCAATTCGCAGCGCAACCCCTCATGCTGCTACAGCTGGGACAACAGGTGCTCTAACCAGGTGACTTTTGAGTTGACTCAAAAGGCTCCCCCACGGGGATCAATTCGCAGCGCAACCCCTCATGCTGCTACAGCTGGGACAACAGGTGCTCTAACCAGGTGACTTTTGAGTTGACTCAAAAGGCTCCCCCACGGGGATCAATTCGCAGCGCAACCCCTCATGATGCTACAGCTGGGACAACAGGTGCTCTAACCAGGTGACTTTTGAGTTGACTCAAAAGGCTCCCCCACGGGGATCAATTCGCAGCGCAACCCCTCATGCTGCTACAGCTGGGACAACAGGTGCTCTAACCAGGTGACTTTTGAGTTGACTCAAAAGGCTCCCCCACGGGGATCAATTCGCAGCGCAACCCCTCATGCTGCTACAGCTGGGACAACAGGTGCTCTAACCAGGTGACTTTTGAGTTGACTCAAAAGGCTCCCCCACGGGGATCAATTCGCAGCGCAACCCCTCATGCTGCTACAGCTGGGACAACAGGTGCTCTAACCAGGTGACTTTTGAGTTGACTCAAAAGGCTCCCCCACGGGGATCAATTCGCAGCGCAACCCCTCATGCTGCTACAGCTGGGACAACAGGTGCTCTAACCAGGTGACTTTTGAGTTGACTCAAAAGGCTCCCCCACGGGGATCAATTCGCAGCGCAACCCCTCATGCTGCTACAGCTGGGACAACAGGTGCTCTAACCAGGTGACTTTTGAGTTGACTCAAAAGGCTCCCCCACGGGGATCAATTCGCAGCGCAACCCCTCATGCTGCTACAGCTGGGACAACAGGTGCTCTAACCAGGTGACTTTTGAGTTGACTCAAAAGGCTCCCCCACGGGGATCAATTCGCAGCGCAACCCCTCATGCTGCTACAGCTGGGACAACAGGTGCTCTAACCAGGTGACTTTTGAGTTGACTCAAAAGGCTCCCCCACGGGGATCAATTCGCAGCGCAACCCCTCATGCTGCTACAGCTGGGACAACAGGTGCTCTAACCAGGTGACTTTTGAGTTGACTCAAAAGGCTCCCCCACGGGGATCAATTCGCAGCGCAACCCCTCATGCTGCTACAGCTGGGACAACAGGTGCTCTAACCAGGTGACTTTTGAGTTGACTCAAAAGGCTCCCCCACGGGGATCAATTTGCAGCGCAACCCCTCATGCTGCTACAGCTGGGACAACAGGTGCTCTAACCAGGTGACTTTTGAGTTGACTCAAAAGGCTCCCCCACGGGGATCAATTCGCAGCGCAACCCCTCATGCTGCTACAGCTGGGACAACAGGTGCTCTAACCAGGTGACTTTTGAGTTGACTCAAAAGGCTCCCCCACGGGGATCAATTCGCAGCGCAACCCCTCATGCTGCTACAGCTGGGACAACAGGTGCTCTAACCAGGTGACTTTTGAGTTGACTCAAAAGGCTCCCCCACGGGGATCAATTCGCAGCGCAACCCCTCATGCTGCTACAGCTGGGACAACAGGTGCTCTAACCAGGTGACTTTTGAGTTGACTCAAAAGGCTCCCCCACGGGGATCAATTCGCAGCGCAACCCCTCATGCTGCTACAGCTGGGACAACAGGTGCTCTAACCAGGTGACTTTTGAGTTGACTCAAAAGGCTCCCCCACGGGGATCAATTCGCAGCGCAACCCCTCATGCTGCTACAGCTGGGACAACAGGTGCTCTAACCAGGTGACTTTTGAGTTGACTCAAAAGGCTCCCCCACGGGGATCAATTCGCAGCGCAACCCCTCATGCTGCTACAGCTGGGACAACAGGTGCTCTAACCAGGTGACTTTTGAGTTGACTCAAAAGGCTCCCCCACGGGGATCAATTCGCAGCGCAACCCCTCATGCTGCTACAGCTGGGACAACAGGTGCTCTAACCAGGTGACTTTTGAGTTGACTCAAAAGGCTCCCCCACGGGGATCAATTCGCAGCGCAACCCCTCATGCTGCTACAGCTGGGACAACAGGTGCTCTAACCAGGTGACTTTTGAGTTGACTCAAAAGGCTCCCCCACGGGGATCAATTCGCAGCGCAACCCCTCATGCTGCTACAGCTGGGACAACAGGTGCTCTAACCAGGTGACTTTTGAGTTGACTCAAAAGGCTCCCCCACGGGGATCAATTCGCAGCGCAACCCCTCATGCTGCTACAGCTGGGACAACAGGTGCTCTAACCAGGTGACTTTTGAGTTGACTCAAAAGGCTCCCCCACGGGGATCAATTCGCAGCGCAACCCCTCATGCTGCTACAGCTGGGACAACAGGTGCTCTAACCAGGTGACTTTTGAGTTGACTCAAAAGGCTCCCCCACGGGGATCAATTCGCAGCGCAACCCCTCATGCTGCTACAGCTGGGACAACAGGTGCTCTAACCAGGTGACTTTTGAGTTGACTCAAAAGGCTCCCCCACGGGGATCAATTTGCAGCGCAACCCCTCATGCTGCTACAGCTGGGACAACAGGTGCTCTAACCAGGTGACTTTTGAGTTGACTCAAAAGGCTCCCCCACGGGGATCAATTCGCAGCGCAACCCCTCATGCTGCTACAGCTGGGACAACAGGTGCTCTAACCAGGTGACTTTTGAGTTGACTCAAAAGGCTCCCCCACGGGGATCAATTCGCAGCGCAACCCCTCATGCTGCTACAGCTGGGACAACAGGTGCTCTAACCAGGTGACTTTTGAGTTGACTCAAAAGGCTCCCCCACGGGGATCAATTCGCAGCGCAACCCCTCATGCTGCTACAGCTGGGACAACAGGTGCTCTAACCAGGTGACTTTTGAGTTGACTCAAAAGGCTCCCCCACGGGGATCAATTCGCAGCGCAACCCCTCATGCTGCTACAGCTGGGACAACAGGTGCTCTAACCAGGTGACTTTTGAGTTGACTCAAAAGGCTCCCCCACGGGGATCAATTCGCAGCGCAACCCCTCATGCTGCTACAGCTGGGACAACAGGTGCTCTAACCAGGTGACTTTTGAGTTGACTCAAAAGGCTCCCCCACGGGGATCAATTCGCAGCGCAACCCCTCATGCTGCTACAGCTGGGACAACAGGTGCTCTAACCAGGTGACTTTTGAGTTGACTCAAAAGGCTCCCCCACGGGGATCAATTTGCAGCGCAACCCCTCATGCTGCTACAGCTGGGACAACAGGTGCTCTAACCAGGTGACTTTTGAGTTGACTCAAAAGGCTCCCCCACGGGGATCAATTCGCAGCGCAACCCCTCATGCTGCTACAGCTGGGACAACAGGTGCTCTAACCAGGTGACTTTTGAGTTGACTCAAAAGGCTCCCCCACGGGGATCAATTCGCAGCGCAACCCCTCATGCTGCTACAGCTGGGACAACAGGTGCTCTAACCAGGTGACTTTTGAGTTGACTCAAAAGGCTCCCCCACGGGGATCAATTCGCAGCGCAACCCCTCATGCTGCTACAGCTGGGACAACAGGTGCTCTAACCAGGTGACTTTTGAGTTGACTTAAAAGGCTCCCCCACGGGGATCAATTCGCAGCGCAACCCCTCATGCTGCTACAGCTGGGACAACAGGTGCTCTAACCAGGTGACTTTTGAGTTGACTCAAAAGGCTCCCCCACGGGGATCAATTCGCAGCGCAACCCCTCATGCTGCTACAGCTGGGACAACAGGTGCTCTAACCAGGTGACTTTTGAGTTGACTCAAAAGGCTCCCCCACGGGGATCAATTCGCAGCGCAACCCCTCATGCTGCTACAGCTGGGACAACAGGTGCTCTAACCAGGTGACTTTTGAGTTGACTCAAAAGGCTCCCCCACGGGGATCAATTCGCAGCGCAACCCCTCATGCTGCTACAGCTGGGACAACAGGTGCTCTAACCAGGTGACTTTTGAGTTGACTCAAAAGGCTCCCCCACGGGGATCAATTCGCAGCGCAACCCCTCATGCTGCTACAGCTGGGACAACAGGTGCTCTAACCAGGTGACTTTTGAGTTGACTCAAAAGGCTCCCCCACGGGGATCAATTCGCAGCGCAACCCCTCATGCTGCTACAGCTGGGACAACAGGTGCTCTAACCAGGTGACTTTTGAGTTGACTCAAAAGGCTCCCCCACGGGGATCAATTCGCAGCGCAACCCCTCATGCTGCTACAGCTGGGACAACAGGTGCTCTAACCAGGTGACTTTTGAGTTGACTCAAAAGGCTCCCCCACGGGGATCAATTCGCAGCGCAACCCCTCATGCTGCTACAGCTGGGACAACAGGTGCTCTAACCAGGTGACTTTTGAGTTGACTCAAAAGGCTCCCCCACGGGGATCAATTCGCAGCGCAACCCCTCATGCTGCTACAGCTGGGACAACAGGTGCTCTAACCAGGTGACTTTTGAGTTGACTCAAAAGGCTCCCCCACGGGGATCAATTCGCAGCGCAACCCCTCATGCTGCTACAGCTGGGACAACAGGTGCTCTAACCAGGTGACTTTTGAGTTGACTCAAAAGGCTCCCCCACGGGGATCAATTCGCAGCGCAACCCCTCATGCTGCTACAGCTGGGACAACAGGTGCTCTAACCAGGTGACTTTTGAGTTGACTCAAAAGGCTCCCCCACGGGGATCAATTCGCAGCGCAACCCCTCATGCTGCTACAGCTGGGACAACAGGTGCTCTAACCAGGTGACTTTTGAGTTGACTCAAAAGGCTCCCCCACGGGGATCAATTCGCAGTGCAACCCCTCATGCTGCTACAGCTGGGACAACAGGTGCTCTAACCAGGTGACTTTTGAGTTGACTCAAAAGGCTCCCCCACGGGGATCAATTCGCAGCGCAACCCCTCATGCTGCTACAGCTGGGACAACAGGTGCTCTAACCAGGTGACTTTTGAGTTGACTCAAAAGGCTCCCCCACGGGGATCAATTCGCAGCGCAACCCCTCATGCTGCTACAGCTGGGACAACAGGTGCTCTAACCAGGTGACTTTTGAGTTGACTCAAAAGGCTCCCCCACGGGGATCAATTCGCAGCGCAACCCCTCATGCTGCCTCAGCTGGGAGGAGGGATGGGAGGGGGAGGAGGGGGAGGAGGGAGGGGAAGGGGGAGGAGGGATGGGAGGGGGAGGAGGGGGAGGAGGGAGGGGAAGGGGGAGGAGGGATGGGAGGGGGAGGAGGGGGAGACTCCCTGGATCTCCCTTAGGGGGAGACTCGCGGGATGGTGGCTAGGATAGCCGAGTAGGGAGTGAGAAGCTCTGGCTACCTTGTAAGCGTGAATCGGATATCTCCTGTATGCGTGTAATCCGTCTATATCAATGGAAGGACCATTAGAGGAGGGGGAGGAGGGAGGGGAAGGGGGGGAGGGATCTCAGTATAGGCAATTGTGCAGGTCTTTGCTCATGACCACTATCTCTGCACCCTGCGGATAGACAAGGCACGGGAGAGATGTGTGACAAGGGATGGATGCACAGGAGAATGGTAGAAATTGAGCACACTGAGAGCAGTTCGGCAACAATTTGAGGCACTTTTGAACAAGCCTGAGAGCTAGAACATAACTGAGCAAGCTCAGTAGCAGGTGAGCACAGCAAGCCAGCAAGACAGCAAGCAAGCCATCAGGTAAGACTAACCAGTCCAGTCACAGCCACTCCAGCACACACTAGCTTGCAGCAGCAGCACGAGAATGAGCCGTGGCACTCACGAGCACGAGAACCATGGCACTCACGAGCTGCTTGTAGAATGCGAGCCACCTTTGAGAATTCTCAGAAGCCGACGCACTCACAAGCTGAATCTGTTTTTTGAAATTTTGTTTTTTTTTTGTTTTTTGTTTTGTTTTTGTTTTTGTTTTATTCTTGAAAAACAGATTGAGAATTCTCGAAAGTTGTGGCACTCACGAGCTGCTTGTAGTATGCGAGCACTTGAGGCCGCGCTGAGTCCAAATCGCCCTTGATTATGTGCGGCACGAACCTGGGGGGAAGGCGAACGGGAGAGAGAGGAGAAAATGGGGAGGATGAGGAGGAGGAGGAAGGAGGGGGGGCGGAGAATGTTTGCGGTGAAGTGAAGATGGAAGAGGGGTCGGTGGGTGGCGGAGGGGGGAAGAGAAGGAGAGGGGGGGTTAGCAAAAAGGGGGGAGAGTGATTGGTGGAGAGGGCCGGAGGAATTAACTTGAACGAGGCAGCAGGAGGGGCAGCAGAGCATGGGATGGGGGCATGGGGAAAGGGAGACATGGCAAGGAGGCATTTGTCAGGACTGGGAGGTGGGAGGTGGGCATGGGGAATGGGGCATGGGAGGGGGGCATGGGTTGGGGGGGATGGGTTGGGGGGGATGGGAAGGGGAGGCTACGGGAGCACAGCATTGGTTGTCAATGCAGTGAGCAGTGAGCACCTTGAGCAAGCATGAAGGGGTTAATGCCCACCTTCGTCTGACGTCATCAGGGTCCTCCCCCGGGAACATTCCTGGAAGCTCGTCGTACAGGCGGTTCACTCCGCCATCCGCGCACAGCCGCAGAGATCCCGCTGGTAGGGTAGAGATGGTGGAGGAGAAATGAGGAGAAACGGGGGAGGGAAGAGCAAGGGGGGATGGGGAAGGAGAGAGGGGCGTGGACTGTTCTGCTCCGAGTTACGACCAGAAGCTGTTCTGCTCCGAGTTACGACCAGAAGCTGTTCTGCTCCGAGTTACGACCAGAAGCTGTTCTGCTACGAACAGCTCAGATCAGCGCGCAGCTCCCCGGCATCTGCGAAGCGTGAACGAACGAGCGCTTCTACTCGGTAACCCTATTCGCCTAGTAGACGAGATCATATTTCGTTCGCGAGAGGAGAGCAGCGACGCGGCGGACCTTGCTGCTAGCGAATCTGCGTGAACGCCGGGAGCTTGAAGTTGGGTTTTGAGACGTCTCACAACCTAGCTTCTATCACGTACCTTGCGCAGAGAGCGGAACCCCGCGCGGTTGTGCGATAGCGGTTGTGCGGTAGCGGTTCTGAGACGGCTCAAAACCCAACTTTTATCACGTACCTTGTTGCCAGAGAATCGGCGTGAAAGCCGGGAGCTTGAAGTTCAAGATGACTAGAGACGTATTTGGTTGGGCTTTCATCTCCTCGCGCTTCCCGTCGACGATCGCAAGATCCGATTGGTGGAGGACATAGTCGCTGACGTGGACGGCTTCTGGAAGCGCCGAGTTCGTAAATTCTCCTGGAGCAGCCGCCGCGGCGCATCCGCTAATGTCACGTCGCATGGCGGAGGGGCTTCGTGGGGAAATCGTCTGGGGAAGCCGCCAGAATGGGGGAGCGGACGGTGCGACTGTGGCGGAAAGGCGTGGCGTTGGCGCTGCATACGCGGAATGCGCAGAGAGCGGAACCCCGCGCGGTTGTGCGGAAGCGGTGATTTTGCGCGATGAATTACGCACGCTAGTGGCTCCGAGGATACTCGTCGCGACTGTCGCCGAGCTGGTAACCACTTTCGTTCGGCAGATGGTGGCTGTCTTGGAGGGTGAGATAGCGATGCGGCGAAACCCGTCAGAGTGTGTGAAAGGCGGCGAGGTTGGAGCGGCGAGAGCAGAGGCATAGACGAAGCATAGTGTAAAGCGTATGGCGTGACTGTTGTTGCCAGTGGCGGTTGGAACAAAGTGGCGGCCAAGTGACCCCCCTTCGGCTAAGTGACGCCCCTGTGGTTCTCTAAGCGTTCAAGGGAAATGTACACCTATCAGGATGAAAATTGAATTATGTATCTCATATTTTTATCCAGCCGACTTCATGGCTGCCGGAGCAATCCAGCCGGGAAAAAATATAACAGAGTTATATCCAGGATTTCATCCTGTAAGTTGGATTTATTTTCCTTCTTATTTATTCCGTGCGCTCACATTTTGAAATCACAGTCTCGCTATTCTTTAGTCCGTCCGTTCTTGTACACCTCGTACCAAAATGGGAAGATGCTTTCGGTTCTACAGTATCGGGTATGCTGCTCTGAAAGAATACAAAACGTCTTGACGACGTACCAGACGTAAAGTACAATTGGACGACACCTGAATCACGGCTCCATCAGATGGGCACTGCCTGAACCCACCTGGGCGGACACATGAAATTCTTGCTGGGGGGGGTGCCTGCGTTGCATTCGTAAGATCTGGCGACATTTTCGACGACACGACGCGAGACGACACGACACACGAGGATGTGCGACCGCGATGCTGGCCTGACTGTTCACGTGCCGCTCAAATCGTACTGGTCATGGTTTGTGAATCCAGCTGGAACATCGTGTTGAAGTCTGCTTCTTCCACGGTCACTTTACGGATGAGGTACGACTGTACACAGAAAATCGAGGTACGTGCTGGTTTCTATGTAACGTGACGGTTTTCCACAGACGTGAAAACTTTGCCGAGTAGAATGGGATCATGCACTTAAGCAAGCATTAAGAGTACTTCCTCCGATTCTTAAAAAACAGCCATCAGCCGTGTGCTCAATTTCAGTGGATATTCCACGCGGTTGGAGCACAATCGTGTCGAATTACAGCTGTGGATCAATCACTCGAACAGTTGACCACTGACATTTGCTGGCATTTATTGAGCCAAAGCTGAGCCACACAGACCTCATCTCCCACGTTGCAACCAGGCTTGAACAGTGCGTTGACGTGGTTACCAGGGCACATGGCCGATAACAATCCGTTAGCGTGTCACGAGTGCGACGGTTGCTTGCGACACTTCTTACCTCCAAGGAGCTCGCTGTTGCCTTGAGCGAAGTTGAAGCGCCGCAAACGAAATGTGGTGACGCTGCATAGCCTTCAGCACGCTGATGTCGCCGTTGCACATCTTCGCTCAACGTGCTCCCATCAACCCTTGATGAGTTCAACAACTGTTTCTCCGCAGTTAGTTTAGAGGATACCTCCCATCTAAAACATACAGATACATCTCTCACATGGCTGATTAACCAGCAAAACAATATTATTCTGCTGCTTTTACCTGACTGGAAGACAGTTAAGGATGCTGGTTTCCCCCCATACTAAAATCGCGGGCAGAAATCATTAGACTTGCTGGTGGGTGGGTGTTTGTGGGTTCCGTCGCACAGATCGTTCTTGTATTTCCTTGATGCTTCGCTGTCATCATGACGTCCTGCTGCTTGCTGGTTGATCTCGCCTCGCCATGGTGGGCGCCCTGGCAGCTTCAGGAGGAATCAGGCAGCTGTCCACGGTCGAACCGCGTTTCCGTTTTCGTGCCCGTCAACGATTATCAAAGATGGGTTTCTTTCAAGCCTCTCCTGATGTGCCCTTAGCGAAATGGTCCTACTGTACCCGAAACGAGACCAAGCTGCCCATGTCCCTTTTTGGCGCGGCGACATCTCGTGATTCGTTCAGTTTCCAGATGACCCAATCAAATGCTGCACTGCTGCAAGCAACTCTTCGCTGCCCTGCCCCACGGTTTTTCTTTCCCTTCCAGCCTCACCTGACCTGACGCGTCTGCCCCTGCTTTCTGCCTCTGACTTTGATCTGATTCCTGCGCCCCACATCCCTGCCGTGTAATCACCAACGTGGAGACCCATCACTGGCAGAGCTTTTAGCAGCACAGCCCAAAAGTGCTTTTGGACTTCACACTTCCGGATAGAGTCAGTTTCACATTCCAATATTTTCCCACGGGTGCGTTGCCCCCTTCGAAGAGCAAGCGCATTCGGAAGTATACTTCAGGCGCTCCTTCGTATTCCAGCCTTCCACAAAAAGCACTTTTCACACTAAAGTTTCAGTTACAGCTAGCTTGCAAAACCAGCTTTTTGTCACAAGATCCAGCTCTTTGAAACAGCGCCCTTTTTAATAATAATTAAGTCGTCCAAACGCAATTAGTAATCTAGTCGCAGACGTAGGCGTCACGAATTACGATGACGAGAACGCCGTGTTGCGAAAAGGCGGAGGTTCGAAAGGGGCCGTGGACTCGAGAAGAGGACGAGCTGCTCGTGAAAGCGATTAAGGAGCACGGCGAGGGGAACTGGAGCGCGATCCCCAAGAAAGCTGGTGAGCTGTCTGTGCTTTGAGATCCTCATCGCTTCCAGTTTCCCGCACATTTTCGTTCAATTCCCACGTTGAAATCGCGCCATGGGGCCTTTTCGCATTGTGATACACGCTCCCAAAACCCATATCTCACAAGAGTTTGATTTCTGATTCGTCCGCTTGCGCATCGCAGGGCTGATCCGTTGTGGGAAGAGTTGTCGCCTCCGGTGGGCCAATTACCTTCGTCCCGACTTGAAACGCGGCGCGTTTTCCGCGGAAGAGGAGGCGCTGATCGTGCGGCTGCACAAGGAGATGGGCAACCGATGGGCCAAGATCGCCCTCGAGCTCCCCGGACGGACGGATAACGACATAAAGAACCACTGGAACACGAGAATAAAGAAGAAGCTGCGCGAGTCGGGGATCGACCCCGAGACGCACCTCCCGCTAGCGACACGTTTGGCAGATGGTAAGCCGCGATCTGAGACCTGTGTTTTCTTTGTTTGCAAAACGATCGAACGGGATCAGAAGCATGCTTTAGTTTCTAAGAACCATTACACTTCCTTTTTAGTCGGTGCTGCGTTACTAATGCTGTCTTATCTCTTAATGCCGTCTTGCGTCACCAGGGATGGCTCTCCATGCGATCAAACGTCCACTGCCCGCAACAACTACGCCTATCGCATCGGCCTACCCGTTCCCGCCTTCGAAGAAGCAGTGCCTCGAGCCTGTCGAAACTACAGCAGTTCCCGCCTGCGCCGTTCCCCCACCACACGCGCAAGCGCAAGCGCCGCTTTGCCCGCCATCCGCTTTCGCGGCCGAGATCGTCAGTACTGCTGCTGAAGTGAAAGCGGATCTTGCTCTTCTTCAAGTTGGAAGTGCGTCCGCGCAAGCGCAGCGCGGAATGGGTTTTCGCAGCAGCAGCTGCAGCAGCAGCGACGAGGACGAGGAGGGCGATAGCGACGGTCCGAGTCTAGTCGAACACGACGGCGAAACCGAAGCTGGTTCGCCGACAAGCGTAATCGTTTCGCAGATCGGCGCTCGTGCTCGGGTAACGGCGACGGAAGCAGATGCGGGTTTGGGTTTGTCCGTGCGTGCGGGAGGAATCAAGGTTGAAAAGAGTGGGGCAGATGAAAAAAACGATTCGCTAGTTTCGGCATCGACGGTTCACAACTCGCTTTCGCCAGCAGGCGCTTTCGCGAAGTCTCGTTCGTTCAAGGTTCCGCCTCCGTCGCTGATCATTCCGTGTTCCGCTTCCGCGGACGAGGGGGAAGTTCGGGCAGAAGTTCCGCTTGCGCCAGCGGTTCCGGCGTTCGGCGGAGCTGTTTTGGCGAGCCCCTTCATGCTCCGTAACTGGTAAGCGCCTTATATAGCACATAGAAATAACGCAAACGTATGCCTTGAAGTTTCTGAACATTGGAAGCAAGGTTGAAATGATACACATGACACGAAACATCCAGTTCAAGTGCATGAAACCATTTCAAATTATGTACGCCCGTACACCTAATTTGCGTTGCTTTTGTAACTGACACTATCATTTGCACGATACTCGATACTAATAATCTCCTTCCTGTTTGCCTCTCCCCCAATTCTCCTCCAAATGCAGTTTATGGGACAGCTCCGATCTGAACTGCCCTTGGGCTGATGACCTGGACATGGACACGTCAGCAGCCCTCCCTGTGCTACCCAGTCCGAAGTTCATCCCGCTCACTCCATCCAGCACCGCGTTTGGGAGCTTCAGCTTCGGTACAAGCACTCCTGGTAACAACACCAACTCGAGCAACTACAGTTACGGCTACAGTAGCAACAGCGGCAACAGCAACAGTTATAACAATACGAACCACCACAGCAGCAGCTCAGCAGCAATCCATTTCAGTTTCCCCACCCACCCCACCCCACCTGCCTCAACCGCTGCAGCGGATCTCACCGCGTTCGACCACCTCCCCCAGCCACTCAGCGACAGCCACCTGGCGCTCCACTCCGTCATGGACGGCTCAGATTCGCAGCGGCTAGGAGGCGCGATGGGCAGATGCGAGGGACTGGGATCCGCGGGGGTGGGTAGCGGCGCAGCAGTAGCAGGGGAACTGGTTTCCATGGCGCTGGTTTCCCCTCCTCTTCCCGGCACCGTCCCCCTTTCCTCAGGCGCTCTAGATGGGCTTACTCTAGAAATGGACGAAAATATTCACATGGGGTTGGGAAGGGGGGAGATGGGGGACGATGTGAGGGGGGATCTGGGGGAAGACATGGGGGAGGAGGACGTGGGGTTGGATGCGGCCATGTGCCTGTCGCCGGACGAGTTTGACTCGTTTGACTTGGGCCTGCCGCCCGGCGTGTGCCCGTCCCCGATGCCGGGATTCAGTGGCAGTATCTTCGCCCATGCCGCTGCTACCGCTCCTGCTGCTGCCGCCCCTGCTTTCACTGCTTCAGACCCAACCTTTGCTGCTGGTGCTGACGGTTCAGGGATTCGCTGTGGTCAATAGGCGAGCAAATTGGAAGAGGATAGGAAGACCACTGGGAGGGAGCGGGCGGTGGAGAGGGTTTGTGAATGGTGGATGGTGGGGTGGAGAGGGGTTGGGATGGGTAGGGGACCTGAAAAGCAAGGCGGAAAGCTGCTCTGGTTCTGTGTGTTTCGGCATCAAATGCCTGAAACACGTTGGAAGGAAGCCGACCAGCCCCTGCTCTAGCCTGTTTTATCTCGTTATCTTGTGTATAGACTAGTGACTAGTTACTGAGGGAGTTCTGTGGGTATACGTTCTAGTGAGGGGGTTTGGGGAAAACAAGGGCTTTATACTGGGTGTAGGAATTATTTATCGGTAGAGGGTCCAGGAGGAGGGTGAGCAAGCAGTGCTGTGCTCTGGGTAATCCCAGAATTATTGGTCTGAAGTGGTGGGAGGGTTCTAGTGTACAGGAGGTGGCTCTGCCGTGGATAGTATTGAGGGTGAAGGAAGCTTGCAATTTTGTCTGCCAAACATCTAATACATTGGAGAGGAGTATTTATGCAAGAGATGGTCCATTGTTCAATGCACTCTGCTGCACTCCATCTTGAAAAGATCCACCCACACAGTTGTTTAGTAACAGTGTGATATACGGTAAAGACAAATGTACCGTATGATACGGTAAGCGTGTGTAACATGAAATTCCACAGTAAGTCTCAAGAGTAGAATGCAACGGAATGGGTGGAATTAGGGTTTGCAAGGTTCCAATTAGGAATCCTACAAAAGCTATACTCTCTAGGGAATACCTCACTGCAGCCTATCATAACATTAACATTTGACACACCCCCATAGGCTAAGTGAGGGACATCAGAGCAAGCAAGGTGAAACAAACGGTCACAAGACCAGTCAAGGCAAGAAGCAAGGCAAGCTCAGGGTGGATCTCAAGGACACCACACAAATTCCGAGCACAAGCAAGCGGCCACAAGGCCAGTTCAAGAGTTCACTATAATATAAATACGAAAACACAACAAGCAGAGCAAGCGACAAGGCTACAGCAATCGAGGGCCTACCTCAACAAGCCCCAACTGCACACAGAACCTGTGGTGGTCACCAAGCGCCAAGGCCTTGGTGAAGACGTCTGCAGTGTTGGCCTTTGAGGCCACAAAGTCCAGGCGTGCCTGGCCGCGTCGCTGCAGCTCTCGCAGGAGAAAGTGCCTCACGTCAATATGCTTCACTCTGCTCTCCAGTCGAGGCTCTTGACACAGAAGGATCATGACCTTGTTGTCAGCGTACAAGGTCGGTGCAGAGCGAGGCCGCTCATCAAGGTCGGCGAGCAAGAAGGTCAACCAGCGAAGCTCCTGCGCCTGTCAAAGCATATGCATGTTATCTATGTGTAGGCTGTAGTGGGGTAGCCAATATAGGGTACAGCCCCTTTTAGGGTTTCATACTTGTACCCAACTCTTTCATAGTTCAATCATTCCTGCTGCTAGATTCTGACAGCGCCGCCATGGCACCAGCGTAGATCTCTGCCTCTGCACTGGAAGTAGCCACAGACGACGACCGTGTAGACCTCCACGACACAGCCCCAGCTCCCAGACTGAAGCAGTAACCTTGGGTCGAGCGCTGAGTCTCCACGTCGTCAGCGTAGGAAGAATCACAGTGACGAAAACCGGCGTCAAGCGAGCGGAGGTGAGTCACTAGGTCGGAAACAGTCGCAAACGAGCCTAGGTCGGGAAACACGAACGGCATGAGGAGGCGACTGAGGGAGGCGGAGGAGGGGGTGGAATAGCGGGCAACAATAGAATCCCAAACCCCCTGTGCTGTCTCCACCTTGTCAAAGTGGGCGGCCTCAGTCGGGGGGAGAAGCTCCGACAGCGTGAGAGCGGCGAAAGCGTCACGAGAGAGCCACACGTCCCGTGCCAGGACCCGACGCTCGTAGTCCGCCTGGGCCGTAGGAGTCGGCTCCGAGGCGGTCGGGAGGGCGGCGGGGGACGGGGGGGGCTTGAGGGCACCAGACGCGTGGGCCCACAGAGTGGCGCCGTCCTGACGCTGGCTGGTAAGGAAACGCGTGATCTAGCGCTGCCAGGTACCGAACTCTATCGGGCGTCCCTCCGCATCGAAACGAAGGCGACGAGACTCCATAACGGAGGCCATGCTAGAGGCGGCCGGAGCTCGGCGGAGGCGGAGCTAAGAACGAGGAGGGAAGCCTAGGAGCGCCAGGTGTGGCGCGGTGTGAGACCGGCGGAGCTAGAGGCTAGGAGCACGGAGGGACCTAGTCTAGGCGTGAAACGGCGGAACTCCAGCTACATGCACTAGGGGCGAGGAACTAGCAGGAACACGGGTCTACCCTAGGTGGCCGGCGAAAGAAAGCGGCTGCCAGCCGCTGAGGGCGAGATCAGTGTCAAAAGAGTTGTCTAGGGCCCCGTGCGCAGGGCGGTAGTGGGGTTCGGGCGCGTGCCAATCGCGGGTGGGAACGGGCTAACGCGGAGGCGCGAGCCTAGGTGAGGGCGAGGGCACGGTGGGCTCGGGGGGAGGGCGCACGACGTTAGGAGAGGGCGGGGAGGAGGGTGCGTGCCGGTAGGAAGGGGTGGGGAGGAGGGCGCGACGGTGAGAAGGGGCGGGGAGGAGGGCGCGACGGTAGGACAGGGGCGCGGATGGGAGGGCGACGCGACGGGCAGGGGAAAGGGAGGCGACGCGACGGGCAGGGGAAGGGGAGGCGAACGCGACGGGCAGGAGGAGGGGAGGCGACGCGACGGGCAGGGGGAAGGGAGGCGACGCGACGGGCAGGGGAAGGGGAGGCGAACGCGACGGGCAGGAGGAGGGGAGGCGACGCGACGGGCAGGGGAAAGGGAGGCGACGCGACGGGCAGGGGAAGGGGAGGCGAACGCGACGGGCAGGAGGAGGGGAGGCGACGCGACGGGCAGGGGAAAGGGAGGCGACGCGACGGGCAGGGGAAGGGGAGGCGAACGCGACAGGCAGGAGGAGGGGAGGCGACGCGACGGGCAGGGGAAGGGGAGGCGAACGCGACGGGCAGGAGGAGGGGAGGCGACGCGACGGGCAGGGGGAAGGGAGGCGACGCGACGGGCAGGGGAAGGGGAGGCGAACGCGACGGGCAGGAGGAGGGGAGGCGACGCGACGGGCAGGGGGAAGGGAGGCGACGCGACGGGCAGGGGAAGGGGAGGCGAACGCGACGGGCAGGAGGAGGGGAGGCGACGCGACGGGCAGGGGGAGAGGAGGCGACGCGACGGGCAGGGGAAGGGGAGGGGGGGGCGACGCGACGGGCAGGGGGAGGGCGCGACAGTGGGAGGGGCCGGGCTAGGCGTGCGTTGAGGGCGCGGAGGGCGCGGAGGGCACTAACGTGCGGAGGGCGCGGAGGGCACGAACGTGCGGAGGGCGCGGAGGGCACGGAGGGCACGAACGTGCAGAGGGCGCGGAGGGCACGGAGGGCACGGAGGGCGCTAAGGCGCGGAGGGCGCTAAGACGCGGAGGGCGCGTGGGCGCGGAGGGCGCTAGGGCTAGGCTAGGGCTAGGCTAGGGCTAAGGAACTCGAACCTACTATGATACCATCTCAAGAGTAGAATGCAACGGAATGGGTGGAATTAGGGTTTGCAAGGGTACAAATAGGAATCCTACAAAAGCTATCCTCTCTAGGGAGTACCTCACTGCAGCCTATCATAACATGAACATTTGACAGTAAGTTACAAGTGTCAAAGAGCTAAAGCTAGTTAGGCTTAGAAGCCATGGCTAGAGTAGCTTAGGAGATTAGGTTGTTCAATAAAGAGAGAAGGTACAAGGATATAGGCAAAGCAAGCAAGGTGCACCACCAAACAATGCAACACTACACTAACTACTGCTACAAGCAGTTTATATAAGAAATGTATTTCAACACACCCCCTAAACTGCTTGCAGCAGGAAGCTAATGCAGAGACACCCCCTGAAGGGGTACACCAAGCGCAGCGGAAGACGGCAGAGAGGAATGCGAGGAGGAGGAGATGAGAGAGAGAGAGGGGAGAGGAGAGGAATGAGGAGAGGAGGTGGGGGAGCCACGCGGCGAGCCCCTCTTACTAACCCCCGTTTTACGAAGGGGGGGGATGAGAGAGGGATGAGGAGAGGAGGTGGGGGAGCCACGCGGCGAGCCCCTCTTACGAACCCCCTGTTTACAAAGGGGGGGTGAGAGAGGGAGGAGAGGAGGTGGGGGGAGCCTAGCGCGGCAAGCCCCTCTTACTAACCCCCTAATTCCACGCCCCCTTTCAGCCACCCCCCTTGTCAATCGCCCCCCTTGTCAATCGCCCCCTTGAACCTCATGCCTTTCCCCCCACCCTTCCTCCAACGCCACCCCCTCACCCTCCCCCCCCTTCCCCCCCACCCCAGGAGGGGCGGCAGGAAGAGAGAGGAGGTGGGCTGGCGCATGCTGGTCACCCCCGCCACCCCCTCACCCTCCCCCCCCTCCTGCCCCCCACCCCAGGAGAGGCGGTAGGAAGAGAGAGAGGAGGAGGGACGGCCGCTGGTTTGTCACACCCGCCAACCCCCTCCTCCCCCCACGGCTGCAGGCGCAGCAGGAAGATGGAGTCGAGGGGGCGGGGTAGGAGCTGCTCCGCGGCTGCCCGCCACCCCCATATCCCCCCCCCCCCCCCCCCCCCCCACGGCTGCACGCGTAGCAGGGAGAAGGAGGCGGGGGGGCGGGGTAGGAGCCGCACCGCGGCTGCAGGTTCTGGCGCGCTCCCGAGGCGCGCGGTGTGCAGAAATCCGCGCGCGACAGTGTCCGGGGGCGACACGACGGACGACGGGGGGCGGCGCGCTGGTCCTCGGGGGCGCCGCGACGAACGACGGGGGGCGGCGCGCGGGTTCCTGGGGGCGCTGCAACGGACGACGGGGGGAGCGCGCGGGTCCCCGGGGGCTCCGTGACGGAGCGTGAAACCGCCGCGCGCGCCCGGGGCGCGCGGCGGGCAGGAGACCGTCGCGCGCCACGGGCACGCGACGGGCAGAAACCGACGCGCGCCACGGGCACGCGACGGGCAGAAAACCTTCGCGCGCCACGGGCGCGCGACGGGCAGGAAAGAGGCGCATTGGCGGAAGCTATCGGTGGGCCCATTAGGTCTTAGGAGCTTAAGTCCTCTGATACCATGTCAAAGAGCTAAAGCTAGTTAGGCTTAGAAGCCATGGCTAGAGTAGCTTAGGAGATTAGGTTGTTCAATAAAGAGAGAAGGTACAAGGATATAGGCAAAGCAAGCAAGGTGCACCACCAAACAATGTAACACTACACTAACTACTGCGACAAGCAGTTTATATAAGAAATGTATTTCAACAACAAGGACAAGCCCTACATAGCAGTGCAGCAAGCACTGCATCCCTAAACGGTTTCACAATTGCAAGCTCGCTTTGCCTCCCTTGCCTACCGTATGCTGCTGCGATATTTTTAATAAACCCCAAAGGCCTCCATGACAAGCATATGACCACAGCATTCTGCTGCGATTGTTGCCCTGACAAACCAGATTTAACAGGCATATGAACCCAGAGTCAACTCAGGTCAAGCGGGTCACACAGAACCCTCAAGCTTCACATGCGCATCTGCTGTGGCAGGACCATGTGGGCACGGGGGGAATGGAAGCATGGGGACACAGGGGCATGAGCGAATGGATGGAAGCATGGGGACACAGGGGCATGAGCGAATGGATGGAAGCATGGGGACACAGGGGCATGAGCGAATGGATGGAAGCATGGGGACACAGGGGCATGAGCGAATGGATGGAAGCATGGGGACACAGGGGCATGAGCGAATGGATGGAAGCATGGGGACACAGGGGCATGAGCGAATGGATGGAAGCATGGGGACACAGGGGCATGAGCGAATGGATGGAAGCATGGGGACACAGGGGCATGAGCGAATGGATGGAAGCATGGGGACACAGGGGCATGAGCGAATGGATGGAAGCATGGGGACACAGGGGCATGAGCGAATGGATGGAAGCATGGGGACACAGGGGCATGAGCGAATGGATGGAAGCATGGGGACACAGGGGCATGAGCGAATGGATGGAAGCATGGGGACACAGGGGCATGAGCGAATGGATGGAAGCATGGGGACACAGGGGCATGAGCGAATGGATGGAAGCATGGGGACACAGGGGCATGAGCGAATGGATGGAAGCATGGGGACACAGGGGCATGAGCGAATGGATGGAAGCATGGGGACACAGGGGCATGAGCGAATGGATGGAAGCATGGGGACACAGGGGCATGAGCGAATGGATGGAAGCATGGGGACACAGGGGCATGAGCGAATGGATGGAAGCATGGGGACACAGGGGCATGAGCGAATGGATGGAAGCATGGGGACACAGGGGCATGAGCGAATGGATGGAAGCATGGGGACACAGGGGCATGAGCGAATGGATGGAAGCATGGGGACACAGGGGCATGAGCGAATGGATGGAAGCATGGGGACACAGGGGCATGAGCGAATGGATGGAAGCATGGGGACACAGGGGCATGAGCGAATGGATGGAAGCATGGGGACACAGGGGCATGAGCGAATGGATGGAAGCATGGGGACACAGGGGCATGAGCGAATGGATGGAAGCATGGGGACACAGGGGCATGAGCGAATGGATGGAAGCATGGGGACACAGGGGCATGAGCGAATGGATGGAAGCATGGGGACACAGGGGCATGAGCGAATGGATGGAAGCATGGGGACACAGGGGCATGAGCGAATGGATGGAAGCATGGGGACACAGGGGCATGAGCGAATGGATGGAAGCATGGGGACACAGGGGCATGAGCGAATGGATGGAAGCATGGGGACACAGGGGCATGAGCGAATGGATGGAAGCATGGGGACACAGGGGCATGAGCGAATGGATGGAAGCATGGGGACACAGGGGCATGAGCGAATGGATGGAAGCATGGGGACACAGGGGCATGAGCGAATGGATGGAAGCATGGGGACACAGGGGCATGAGCGAATGGATGGAAGCATGGGGACACAGGGGCATGAGCGAATGGATGGAAGCATGGGGACACAGGGGCATGAGCGAATGGATGGAAGCATGGGGACACAGGGGCATGAGCGAATGGATGGAAGCATGGGGACACAGGGGCATGAGCGAATGGATGGAAGCATGGGGACACAGGGGCATGAGCGAATGGATGGAAGCATGGGGACACAGGGGCATGAGCGAATGGATGGAAGCATGGGGACACAGGGGCATGAGCGAATGGATGGAAGCATGGGGACACAGGGGCATGAGCGAATGGATGGAAGCATGGGGACACAGGGGCATGAGCGAATGGATGGAAGCATGGGGACACAGGGGCATGAGCGAATGGATGGAAGCATGGGGACACAGGGGCATGAGCGAATGGATGGAAGCATGGGGACACAGGGGCATGAGCGAATGGATGGAAGCATGGGGACACAGGGGCATGAGCGAATGGATGGAAGCATGGGGACACAGGGGCATGAGCGAATGGATGGAAGCATGGGGACACAGGGGCATGAGCGAATGGATGGAAGCATGGGGACACAGGGGCATGAGCGAATGGATGGAAGCATGGGGACACAGGGGCATGAGCGAATGGATGGAAGCATGGGGACACAGGGGCATGAGCGAATGGATGGAAGCATGGGGACACAGGGGCATGAGCGAATGGATGGAAGCATGGGGACACAGGGGCATGAGCGAATGGATGGAAGCATGGGGACACAGGGGCATGAGCGAATGGATGGAAGCATGGGGACACAGGGGCATGAGCGAATGGATGGAAGCATGGGGACACAGGGGCATGAGCGAATGGATGGAAGCATGGGGACACAGGGGCATGAGCGAATGGATGGAAGCATGGGGACACAGGGGCATGAGCGAATGGATGGAAGCATGGGGACACAGGGGCATGAGCGAATGGATGGAAGCATGGGGACACAGGGGCATGAGCGAATGGATGGAAGCATGGGGACACAGGGGCATGAGCGAATGGATGGAAGCATGGGGACACAGGGGCATGAGCGAATGGATGGAAGCATGGGGACACAGGGGCATGAGCGAATGGATGGAAGCATGGGGACACAGGGGCATGAGCGAATGGATGGAAGCATGGGGACACAGGGGCATGAGCGAATGGATGGAAGCATGGGGACACAGGGGCATGAGCGAATGGATGGAAGCATGGGGACACAGGGGCATGAGCGAATGGATGGAAGCATGGGGACACAGGGGCATGAGCGAATGGATGGAAGCATGGGGACACAGGGGCATGAGCGAATGGATGGAAGCATGGGGACACAGGGGCATGAGCGAATGGATGGAAGCATGGGGACACAGGGGCATGAGCGAATGGATGGAAGCATGGGGACACAGGGGCATGAGCGAATGGATGGAAGCATGGGGACACAGGGGCATGAGCGAATGGATGGAAGCATGGGGACACAGGGGCATGAGCGAATGGATGGAAGCATGGGGACACAGGGGCATGAGCGAATGGATGGAAGCATGGGGACACAGGGGCATGAGCGAATGGATGGAAGCATGGGGACACAGGGGCATGAGCGAATGGATGGAAGCATGGGGACACAGGGGCATGAGCGAATGGATGGAAGCATGGGGACACAGGGGCATGAGCGAATGGATGGAAGCATGGGGACACAGGGGCATGAGCGAATGGATGGAAGCATGGGGACACAGGGGCATGAGCGAATGGATGGAAGCATGGGGACACAGGGGCATGAGCGAATGGATGGAAGCATGGGGACACAGGGGCATGAGCGAATGGATGGAAGCATGGGGACACAGGGGCATGAGCGAATGGATGGAAGCATGGGGACACAGGGGCATGAGCGAATGGATGGAAGCATGGGGACACAGGGGCATGAGCGAATGGATGGAAGCATGGGGACACAGGGGCATGAGCGAATGGATGGAAGCATGGGGACACAGGGGCATGAGCGAATGGATGGAAGCATGGGGACACAGGGGCATGAGCGAATGGATGGAAGCATGGGGACACAGGGGCATGAGCGAATGGATGGAAGCATGGGGACACAGGGGCATGAGCGAATGGATGGAAGCATGGGGACACAGGGGCATGAGCGAATGGATGGAAGCATGGGGACACAGGGGCATGAGCGAATGGATGGAAGCATGGGGACACAGGGGCATGAGCGAATGGATGGAAGCATGGGGACACAGGGGCATGAGCGAATGGATGGAAGCATGGGGACACAGGGGCATGAGCGAATGGATGGAAGCATGGGGACACAGGGGCATGAGCGAATGGATGGAAGCATGGGGACACAGGGGCATGAGCGAATGGATGGAAGCATGGGGACACAGGGGCATGAGCGAATGGATGGAAGCATGGGGACACAGGGGCATGAGCGAATGGATGGAAGCATGGGGACACAGGGGCATGAGCGAATGGATGGAAGCATGGGGACACAGGGGCATGAGCGAATGGATGGAAGCATGGGGACACAGGGGCATGAGCGAATGGATGGAAGCATGGGGACACAGGGGCATGAGCGAATGGATGGAAGCATGGGGACACAGGGGCATGAGCGAATGGATGGAAGCATGGGGACACAGGGGCATGAGCGAATGGATGGAAGCATGGGGACACAGGGGCATGAGCGAATGGATGGAAGCATGGGGACACAGGGGCATGAGCGAATGGATGGAAGCATGGGGACACAGGGGCATGAGCGAATGGATGGAAGCATGGGGACACAGGGGCATGAGCGAATGGATGGAAGCATGGGGACACAGGGGCATGAGCGAATGGATGGAAGCATGGGGACACAGGGGCATGAGCGAATGGATGGAAGCATGGGGACACAGGGGCATGAGCGAATGGATGGAAGCATGGGGACACAGGGGCATGAGCGAATGGATGGAAGCATGGGGACACAGGGGCATGAGCGAATGGATGGAAGCATGGGGACACAGGGGCATGAGCGAATGGATGGAAGCATGGGGACACAGGGGCATGAGCGAATGGATGGAAGCATGGGGACACAGGGGCATGAGCGAATGGATGGAAGCATGGGGACACAGGGGCATGAGCGAATGGATGGAAGCATGGGGACACAGGGGCATGAGCGAATGGATGGAAGCATGGGGACACAGGGGCATGAGCGAATGGATGGAAGCATGGGGACACAGGGGCATGAGCGAATGGATGGAAGCATGGGGACACAGGGGCATGAGCGAATGGATGGAAGCATGGGGACACAGGGGCATGAGCGAATGGATGGAAGCATGGGGACACAGGGGCATGAGCGAATGGATGGAAGCATGGGGACACAGGGGCATGAGCGAATGGATGGAAGCATGGGGACACAGGGGCATGAGCGAATGGATGGAAGCATGGGGACACAGGGGCATGAGCGAATGGATGGAAGCATGGGGACACAGGGGCATGAGCGAATGGATGGAAGCATGGGGACACAGGGGCATGAGCGAATGGATGGAAGCATGGGGACACAGGGGCATGAGCGAATGGATGGAAGCATGGGGACACAGGGGCATGAGCGAATGGATGGAAGCATGGGGACACAGGGGCATGAGCGAATGGATGGAAGCATGGGGACACAGGGGCATGAGCGAATGGATGGAAGCATGGGGACACAGGGGCATGAGCGAATGGATGGAAGCATGGGGACACAGGGGCATGAGCGAATGGATGGAAGCATGGGGACACAGGGGCATGAGCGAATGGATGGAAGCATGGGGACACAGGGGCATGAGCGAATGGATGGAAGCATGGGGACACAGGGGCATGAGCGAATGGATGGAAGCATGGGGACACAGGGGCATGAGCGAATGGATGGAAGCATGGGGACACAGGGGCATGAGCGAATGGATGGAAGCATGGGGACACAGGGGCATGAGCGAATGGATGGAAGCATGGGGACACAGGGGCATGAGCGAATGGATGGAAGCATGGGGACACAGGGGCATGAGCGAATGGATGGAAGCATGGGGACACAGGGGCATGAGCGAATGGATGGAAGCATGGGGACACAGGGGCATGAGCGAATGGATGGAAGCATGGGGACACAGGGGCATGAGCGAATGGATGGAAGCATGGGGACACAGGGGCATGAGCGAATGGATGGAAGCATGGGGACACAGGGGCATGAGCGAATGGATGGAAGCATGGGGACACAGGGGCATGAGCGAATGGATGGAAGCATGGGGACACAGGGGCATGAGCGAATGGATGGAAGCATGGGGACACAGGGGCATGAGCGAATGGATGGAAGCATGGGGACACAGGGGCATGAGCGAATGGATGGAAGCATGGGGACACAGGGGCATGAGCGAATGGATGGAAGCATGGGGACACAGGGGCATGAGCGAATGGATGGAAGCATGGGGACACAGGGGCATGAGCGAATGGATGGAAGCATGGGGACACAGGGGCATGAGCGAATGGATGGAAGCATGGGGACACAGGGGCATGAGCGAATGGATGGAAGCATGGGGACACAGGGGCATGAGCGAATGGATGGAAGCATGGGACACAGGGGCATGAGCGAATGGATGGAAGCATGGGGACACAGGGGCATGAGCGAATGGATGGAAGCATGGGGACACAGGGGCATGAGCGAATGGATGGAAGCATGGGGACACAGGGGCATGAGCGAATGGATGGAAGCATGGGGACACAGGGGCATGAGCGAATGGATGGAAGCATGGGGACACAGGGGCATGAGCGAATGGATGGAAGCATGGGGACACAGGGGCATGAGCGAATGGATGGAAGCATGGGGACACAGGGGCATGAGCGAATGGATGGAAGCATGGGGACACAGGGGCATGAGCGAATGGATGGAAGCATGGGGACACAGGGGCATGAGCGAATGGATGGAAGCATGGGGACACAGGGGCATGAGCGAATGGATGGAAGCATGGGGACACAGGGGCATGAGCGAATGGATGGAAGCATGGGGACACAGGGGCATGAGCGAATGGATGGAAGCATGGGGACACAGGGGCATGAGCGAATGGATGGAAGCATGGGGACACAGGGGCATGAGCGAATGGATGGAAGCATGGGGACACAGGGGCATGAGCGAATGGATGGAAGCATGGGGACACAGGGGCATGAGCGAATGGATGGAAGCATGGGGACACAGGGGCATGAGCGAATGGATGGAAGCATGGGGACACAGGGGCATGAGCGAATGGATGGAAGCATGGGGACACAGGGGCATGAGCGAATGGATGGAAGCATGGGGACACAGGGGCATGAGCGAATGGATGGAAGCATGGGGACACAGGGGCATGAGCGAATGGATGGAAGCATGGGGACACAGGGGCATGAGCGAATGGATGGAAGCATGGGGACACAGGGGCATGAGCGAATGGATGGAAGCATGGGGACACAGGGGCATGAGCGAATGGATGGAAGCATGGGGACACAGGGGCATGAGCGAATGGATGGAAGCATGGGGACACAGGGGCATGAGCGAATGGATGGAAGCATGGGGACACAGGGGCATGAGCGAATGGATGGAAGCATGGGGACACAGGGGCATGAGCGAATGGATGGAAGCATGGGGACACAGGGGCATGAGCGAATGGATGGAAGCATGGGGACACAGGGGCATGAGCGAATGGATGGAAGCATGGGGACACAGGGGCATGAGCGAATGGATGGAAGCATGGGGACACAGGGGCATGAGCGAATGGATGGAAGCATGGGGACACAGGGGCATGAGCGAATGGATGGAAGCATGGGGACACAGGGGCATGAGCGAATGGATGGAAGCATGGGGACACAGGGGCATGAGCGAATGGATGGAAGCATGGGGACACAGGGGCATGAGCGAATGGATGGAAGCATGGGGACACAGGGGCATGAGCGAATGGATGGAAGCATGGGGACACAGGGGCATGAGCGAATGGATGGAAGCATGGGGACACAGGGGCATGAGCGAATGGATGGAAGCATGGGGACACAGGGGCATGAGCGAATGGATGGAAGCATGGGGACACAGGGGCATGAGCGAATGGATGGAAGCATGGGGACACAGGGGCATGAGCGAATGGATGGAAGCATGGGGACACAGGGGCATGAGCGAATGGATGGAAGCATGGGGACACAGGGGCATGAGCGAATGGATGGAAGCATGGGGACACAGGGGCATGAGCGAATGGATGGAAGCATGGGGACACAGGGGCATGAGCGAATGGATGGAAGCATGGGGACACAGGGGCATGAGCGAATGGATGGAAGCATGGGGACACAGGGGCATGAGCGAATGGATGGAAGCATGGGGACACAGGGGCATGAGCGAATGGATGGAAGCATGGGGACACAGGGGCATGAGCGAATGGATGGAAGCATGGGGACACAGGGGCATGAGCGAATGGATGGAAGCATGGGGACACAGGGGCATGAGCGAATGGATGGAAGCATGGGGACACAGGGGCATGAGCGAATGGATGGAAGCATGGGGACACAGGGGCATGAGCGAATGGATGGAAGCATGGGGACACAGGGGCATGAGCGAATGGATGGAAGCATGGGGACACAGGGGCATGAGCGAATGGATGGAAGCATGGGGACACAGGGGCATGAGCGAATGGATGGAAGCATGGGGACACAGGGGCATGAGCGAATGGATGGAAGCATGGGGACACAGGGGCATGAGCGAATGGATGGAAGCATGGGGACACAGGGGCATGAGCGAATGGATGGAAGCATGGGGACACAGGGGCATGAGCGAATGGATGGAAGCATGGGGACACAGGGGCATGAGCGAATGGATGGAAGCATGGGGACACAGGGGCATGAGCGAATGGATGGAAGCATGGGGACACAGGGGCATGAGCGAATGGATGGAAGCATGGGGACACAGGGGCATGAGCGAATGGATGGAAGCATGGGGACACAGGGGCATGAGCGAATGGATGGAAGCATGGGGACACAGGGGCATGAGCGAATGGATGGAAGCATGGGGACACAGGGGCATGAGCGAATGGATGGAAGCATGGGGACACAGGGGCATGAGCGAATGGATGGAAGCATGGGGACACAGGGGCATGAGCGAATGGATGGAAGCATGGGGACACAGGGGCATGAGCGAATGGATGGAAGCATGGGGACACAGGGGCATGAGCGAATGGATGGAAGCATGGGGACACAGGGGCATGAGCGAATGGATGGAAGCATGGGGACACAGGGGCATGAGCGAATGGATGGAAGCATGGGGACACAGGGGCATGAGCGAATGGATGGAAGCATGGGGACACAGGGGCATGAGCGAATGGATGGAAGCATGGGGACACAGGGGCATGAGCGAATGGATGGAAGCATGGGGACACAGGGGCATGAGCGAATGGATGGAAGCATGGGGACACAGGGGCATGAGCGAATGGATGGAAGCATGGGGACACAGGGGCATGAGCGAATGGATGGAAGCATGGGGACACAGGGGCATGAGCGAATGGATGGAAGCATGGGGACACAGGGGCATGAGCGAATGGATGGAAGCATGGGGACACAGGGGCATGAGCGAATGGATGGAAGCATGGGGACACAGGGGCATGAGCGAATGGATGGAAGCATGGGGACACAGGGGCATGAGCGAATGGATGGAAGCATGGGGACACAGGGGCATGAGCGAATGGATGGAAGCATGGGGACACAGGGGCATGAGCGAATGGATGGAAGCATGGGGACACAGGGGCATGAGCGAATGGATGGAAGCATGGGGACACAGGGGCATGAGCGAATGGATGGAAGCATGGGGACACAGGGGCATGAGCGAATGGATGGAAGCATGGGGACACAGGGGCATGAGCGAATGGATGGAAGCATGGGGACACAGGGGCATGAGCGAATGGATGGAAGCATGGGGACACAGGGGCATGAGCGAATGGATGGAAGCATGGGGACACAGGGGCATGAGCGAATGGATGGAAGCATGGGGACACAGGGGCATGAGCGAATGGATGGAAGCATGGGGACACAGGGGCATGAGCGAATGGATGGAAGCATGGGGACACAGGGGCATGAGCGAATGGATGGAAGCATGGGGACACAGGGGCATGAGCGAATGGATGGAAGCATGGGGACACAGGGGCATGAGCGAATGGATGGAAGCATGGGGACACAGGGGCATGAGCGAATGGATGGAAGCATGGGGACACAGGGGCATGAGCGAATGGATGGAAGCATGGGGACACAGGGGCATGAGCGAATGGATGGAAGCATGGGGACACAGGGGCATGAGCGAATGGATGGAAGCATGGGGACACAGGGGCATGAGCGAATGGATGGAAGCATGGGGACACAGGGGCATGAGCGAATGGATGGAAGCATGGGGACACAGGGGCATGAGCGAATGGATGGAAGCATGGGGACACAGGGGCATGAGCGAATGGATGGAAGCATGGGGACACAGGGGCATGAGCGAATGGATGGAAGCATGGGGACACAGGGGCATGAGCGAATGGATGGAAGCATGGGGACACAGGGGCATGAGCGAATGGATGGAAGCATGGGGACACAGGGGCATGAGCGAATGGATGGAAGCATGGGGACACAGGGGCATGAGCGAATGGATGGAAGCATGGGGACACAGGGGCATGAGCGAATGGATGGAAGCATGGGGACACAGGGGCATGAGCGAATGGATGGAAGCATGGGGACACAGGGGCATGAGCGAATGGATGGAAGCATGGGGACACAGGGGCATGAGCGAATGGATGGAAGCATGGGGACACAGGGGCATGAGCGAATGGATGGAAGCATGGGGACACAGGGGCATGAGCGAATGGATGGAAGCATGGGGACACAGGGGCATGAGCGAATGGATGGAAGCATGGGGACACAGGGGCATGAGCGAATGGATGGAAGCATGGGGACACAGGGGCATGAGCGAATGGATGGAAGCATGGGGACACAGGGGCATGAGCGAATGGATGGAAGCATGGGGACACAGGGGCATGAGCGAATGGATGGAAGCATGGGGACACAGGGGCATGAGCGAATGGATGGAAGCATGGGGACACAGGGGCATGAGCGAATGGATGGAAGCATGGGGACACAGGGGCATGAGCGAATGGATGGAAGCATGGGGACACAGGGGCATGAGCGAATGGATGGAAGCATGGGGACACAGGGGCATGAGCGAATGGATGGAAGCATGGGGACACAGGGGCATGAGCGAATGGATGGAAGCATGGGGACACAGGGGCATGAGCGAATGGATGGAAGCATGGGGACACAGGGGCATGAGCGAATGGATGGAAGCATGGGGACACAGGGGCATGAGCGAATGGATGGAAGCATGGGGACACAGGGGCATGAGCGAATGGATGGAAGCATGGGGACACAGGGGCATGAGCGAATGGATGGAAGCATGGGGACACAGGGGCATGAGCGAATGGATGGAAGCATGGGGACACAGGGGCATGAGCGAATGGATGGAAGCATGGGGACACAGGGGCATGAGCGAATGGATGGAAGCATGGGGACACAGGGGCATGAGCGAATGGATGGAAGCATGGGGACACAGGGGCATGAGCGAATGGATGGAAGCATGGGGACACAGGGGCATGAGCGAATGGATGGAAGCATGGGGACACAGGGGCATGAGCGAATGGATGGAAGCATGGGGACACAGGGGCATGAGCGAATGGATGGAAGCATGGGGACACAGGGGCATGAGCGAATGGATGGAAGCATGGGGACACAGGGGCATGAGCGAATGGATGGAAGCATGGGGACACAGGGGCATGAGCGAATGGATGGAAGCATGGGGACACAGGGGCATGAGCGAATGGATGGAAGCATGGGGACACAGGGGCATGAGCGAATGGATGGAAGCATGGGGACACAGGGGCATGAGCGAATGGATGGAAGCATGGGGACACAGGGGCATGAGCGAATGGATGGAAGCATGGGGACACAGGGGCATGAGCGAATGGATGGAAGCATGGGGACACAGGGGCATGAGCGAATGGATGGAAGCATGGGGACACAGGGGCATGAGCGAATGGATGGAAGCATGGGGACACAGGGGCATGAGCGAATGGATGGAAGCATGGGGACACAGGGGCATGAGCGAATGGATGGAAGCATGGGGACACAGGGGCATGAGCGAATGGATGGAAGCATGGGGACACAGGGGCATGAGCGAATGGATGGAAGCATGGGGACACAGGGGCATGAGCGAATGGATGGAAGCATGGGGACACAGGGGCATGAGCGAATGGATGGAAGCATGGGGACACAGGGGCATGAGCGAATGGATGGAAGCATGGGGACACAGGGGCATGAGCGAATGGATGGAAGCATGGGGACACAGGGGCATGAGCGAATGGATGGAAGCATGGGGACACAGGGGCATGAGCGAATGGATGGAAGCATGGGGACACAGGGGCATGAGCGAATGGATGGAAGCATGGGGACACAGGGGCATGAGCGAATGGATGGAAGCATGGGGACACAGGGGCATGAGCGAATGGATGGAAGCATGGGGACACAGGGGCATGAGCGAATGGATGGAAGCATGGGGACACAGGGGCATGAGCGAATGGATGGAAGCATGGGGACACAGGGGCATGAGCGAATGGATGGAAGCATGGGGACACAGGGGCATGAGCGAATGGATGGAAGCATGGGGACACAGGGGCATGAGCGAATGGATGGAAGCATGGGGACACAGGGGCATGAGCGAATGGATGGAAGCATGGGGACACAGGGGCATGAGCGAATGGATGGAAGCATGGGGACACAGGGGCATGAGCGAATGGATGGAAGCATGGGGACACAGGGGCATGAGCGAATGGATGGAAGCATGGGGACACAGGGGCATGAGCGAATGGATGGAAGCATGGGGACACAGGGGCATGAGCGAATGGATGGAAGCATGGGGACACAGGGGCATGAGCGAATGGATGGAAGCATGGGGACACAGGGGCATGAGCGAATGGATGGAAGCATGGGGACACAGGGGCATGAGCGAATGGATGGAAGCATGGGGACACAGGGGCATGAGCGAATGGATGGAAGCATGGGGACACAGGGGCATGAGCGAATGGATGGAAGCATGGGGACACAGGGGCATGAGCGAATGGATGGAAGCATGGGGACACAGGGGCATGAGCGAATGGATGGAAGCATGGGGACACAGGGGCATGAGCGAATGGATGGAAGCATGGGGACACAGGGGCATGAGCGAATGGATGGAAGCATGGGGACACAGGGGCATGAGCGAATGGATGGAAGCATGGGGACACAGGGGCATGAGCGAATGGATGGAAGCATGGGGACACAGGGGCATGAGCGAATGGATGGAAGCATGGGGACACAGGGGCATGAGCGAATGGATGGAAGCATGGGGACACAGGGGCATGAGCGAATGGATGGAAGCATGGGGACACAGGGGCATGAGCGAATGGATGGAAGCATGGGGACACAGGGGCATGAGCGAATGGATGGAAGCATGGGGACACAGGGGCATGAGCGAATGGATGGAAGCATGGGGACACAGGGGCATGAGCGAATGGATGGAAGCATGGGGACACAGGGGCATGAGCGAATGGATGGAAGCATGGGGACACAGGGGCATGAGCGAATGGATGGAAGCATGGGGACACAGGGGCATGAGCGAATGGATGGAAGCATGGGGACACAGGGGCATGAGCGAATGGATGGAAGCATGGGGACACAGGGGCATGAGCGAATGGATGGAAGCATGGGGACACAGGGGCATGAGCGAATGGATGGAAGCATGGGGACACAGGGGCATGAGCGAATGGATGGAAGCATGGGGACACAGGGGCATGAGCGAATGGATGGAAGCATGGGGACACAGGGGCATGAGCGAATGGATGGAAGCATGGGGACACAGGGGCATGAGCGAATGGATGGAAGCATGGGGACACAGGGGCATGAGCGAATGGATGGAAGCATGGGGACACAGGGGCATGAGCGAATGGATGGAAGCATGGGGACACAGGGGCATGAGCGAATGGATGGAAGCATGGGGACACAGGGGCATGAGCGAATGGATGGAAGCATGGGGACACAGGGGCATGAGCGAATGGATGGAAGCATGGGGACACAGGGGCATGAGCGAATGGATGGAAGCATGGGGACACAGGGGCATGAGCGAATGGATGGAAGCATGGGGACACAGGGGCATGAGCGAATGGATGGAAGCATGGGGACACAGGGGCATGAGCGAATGGATGGAAGCATGGGGACACAGGGGCATGAGCGAATGGATGGAAGCATGGGGACACAGGGGCATGAGCGAATGGATGGAAGCATGGGGACACAGGGGCATGAGCGAATGGATGGAAGCATGGGGACACAGGGGCATGAGCGAATGGATGGAAGCATGGGGACACAGGGGCATGAGCGAATGGATGGAAGCATGGGGACACAGGGGCATGAGCGAATGGATGGAAGCATGGGGACACAGGGGCATGAGCGAATGGATGGAAGCATGGGGACACAGGGGCATGAGCGAATGGATGGAAGCATGGGGACACAGGGGCATGAGCGAATGGATGGAAGCATGGGGACACAGGGGCATGAGCGAATGGATGGAAGCATGGGGACACAGGGGCATGAGCGAATGGATGGAAGCATGGGGACACAGGGGCATGAGCGAATGGATGGAAGCATGGGGACACAGGGGCATGAGCGAATGGATGGAAGCATGGGGACACAGGGGCATGAGCGAATGGATGGAAGCATGGGGACACAGGGGCATGAGCGAATGGATGGAAGCATGGGGACACAGGGGCATGAGCGAATGGATGGAAGCATGGGGACACAGGGGCATGAGCGAATGGATGGAAGCATGGGGACACAGGGGCATGAGCGAATGGATGGAAGCATGGGGACACAGGGGCATGAGCGAATGGATGGAAGCATGGGGACACAGGGGCATGAGCGAATGGATGGAAGCATGGGGACACAGGGGCATGAGCGAATGGATGGAAGCATGGGGACACAGGGGCATGAGCGAATGGATGGAAGCATGGGGACACAGGGGCATGAGCGAATGGATGGAAGCATGGGGACACAGGGGCATGAGCGAATGGATGGAAGCATGGGGACACAGGGGCATGAGCGAATGGATGGAAGCATGGGGACACAGGGGCATGAGCGAATGGATGGAAGCATGGGGACACAGGGGCATGAGCGAATGGATGGAAGCATGGGGACACAGGGGCATGAGCGAATGGATGGAAGCATGGGGACACAGGGGCATGAGCGAATGGATGGAAGCATGGGGACACAGGGGCATGAGCGAATGGATGGAAGCATGGGGACACAGGGGCATGAGCGAATGGATGGAAGCATGGGGACACAGGGGCATGAGCGAATGGATGGAAGCATGGGGACACAGGGGCATGAGCGAATGGATGGAAGCATGGGGACACAGGGGCATGAGCGAATGGATGGAAGCATGGGGACACAGGGGCATGAGCGAATGGATGGAAGCATGGGGACACAGGGGCATGAGCGAATGGATGGAAGCATGGGGACACAGGGGCATGAGCGAATGGATGGAAGCATGGGGACACAGGGGCATGAGCGAATGGATGGAAGCATGGGACACAGGGGCATGAGCGAATGGATGGAAGCATGGGGACACAGGGGCATGAGCGAATGGATGGAAGCATGGGGACACAGGGGCATGAGCGAATGGATGGAAGCATGGGGACACAGGGGCATGAGCGAATGGATGGAAGCATGGGGACACAGGGGCATGAGCGAATGGATGGAAGCATGGGGACACAGGGGCATGAGCGAATGGATGGAAGCATGGGGACACAGGGGCATGAGCGAATGGATGGAAGCATGGGGACACAGGGGCATGAGCGAATGGATGGAAGCATGGGGACACAGGGGCATGAGCGAATGGATGGAAGCATGGGGACACAGGGGCATGAGCGAATGGATGGAAGCATGGGGACACAGGGGCATGAGCGAATGGATGGAAGCATGGGGACACAGGGGCATGAGCGAATGGATGGAAGCATGGGGACACAGGGGCATGAGCGAATGGATGGAAGCATGGGGACACAGGGGCATGAGCGAATGGATGGAAGCATGGGGACACAGGGGCATGAGCGAATGGATGGAAGCATGGGGACACAGGGGCATGAGCGAATGGATGGAAGCATGGGGACACAGGGGCATGAGCGAATGGATGGAAGCATGGGGACACAGGGGCATGAGCGAATGGATGGAAGCATGGGGACACAGGGGCATGAGCGAATGGATGGAAGCATGGGGACACAGGGGCATGAGCGAATGGATGGAAGCATGGGGACACAGGGGCATGAGCGAATGGATGGAAGCATGGGGACACAGGGGCATGAGCGAATGGATGGAAGCATGGGGACACAGGGGCATGAGCGAATGGATGGAAGCATGGGGACACAGGGGCATGAGCGAATGGATGGAAGCATGGGGACACAGGGGCATGAGCGAATGGATGGAAGCATGGGGACACAGGGGCATGAGCGAATGGATGGAAGCATGGGGACACAGGGGCATGAGCGAATGGATGGAAGCATGGGGACACAGGGGCATGAGCGAATGGATGGAAGCATGGGGACACAGGGGCATGAGCGAATGGATGGAAGCATGGGGACACAGGGGCATGAGCGAATGGATGGAAGCATGGGGACACAGGGGCATGAGCGAATGGATGGAAGCATGGGGACACAGGGGCATGAGCGAATGGATGGAAGCATGGGGACACAGGGGCATGAGCGAATGGATGGAAGCATGGGGACACAGGGGCATGAGCGAATGGATGGAAGCATGGGGACACAGGGGCATGAGCGAATGGATGGAAGCATGGGGACACAGGGGCATGAGCGAATGGATGGAAGCATGGGGACACAGGGGCATGAGCGAATGGATGGAAGCATGGGGACACAGGGGCATGAGCGAATGGATGGAAGCATGGGGACACAGGGGCATGAGCGAATGGATGGAAGCATGGGGACACAGGGGCATGAGCGAATGGATGGAAGCATGGGGACACAGGGGCATGAGCGAATGGATGGAAGCATGGGGACACAGGGGCATGAGCGAATGGATGGAAGCATGGGGACACAGGGGCATGAGCGAATGGATGGAAGCATGGGGACACAGGGGCATGAGCGAATGGATGGAAGCATGGGGACACAGGGGCATGAGCGAATGGATGGAAGCATGGGGACACAGGGGCATGAGCGAATGGATGGAAGCATGGGGACACAGGGGCATGAGCGAATGGATGGAAGCATGGGGACACAGGGGCATGAGCGAATGGATGGAAGCATGGGGACACAGGGGCATGAGCGAATGGATGGAAGCATGGGGACACAGGGGCATGAGCGAATGGATGGAAGCATGGGGACACAGGGGCATGAGCGAATGGATGGAAGCATGGGGACACAGGGGCATGAGCGAATGGATGGAAGCATGGGGACACAGGGGCATGAGCGAATGGATGGAAGCATGGGGACACAGGGGCATGAGCGAATGGATGGAAGCATGGGGACACAGGGGCATGAGCGAATGGATGGAAGCATGGGGACACAGGGGCATGAGCGAATGGATGGAAGCATGGGGACACAGGGGCATGAGCGAATGGATGGAAGCATGGGGACACAGGGGCATGAGCGAATGGATGGAAGCATGGGGACACAGGGGCATGAGCGAATGGATGGAAGCATGGGGACACAGGGGCATGAGCGAATGGATGGAAGCATGGGGACACAGGGGCATGAGCGAATGGATGGAAGCATGGGGACACAGGGGCATGAGCGAATGGATGGAAGCATGGGGACACAGGGGCATGAGCGAATGGATGGAAGCATGGGGACACAGGGGCATGAGCGAATGGATGGAAGCATGGGGACACAGGGGCATGAGCGAATGGATGGAAGCATGGGGACACAGGGGCATGAGCGAATGGATGGAAGCATGGGGACACAGGGGCATGAGCGAATGGATGGAAGCATGGGGACACAGGGGCATGAGCGAATGGATGGAAGCATGGGGACACAGGGGCATGAGCGAATGGATGGAAGCATGGGGACACAGGGGCATGAGCGAATGGATGGGAAGCATGGGGACACAGGGGCATGAGCGAATGGATGGAAGCATGGGGACACAGGGGCATGAGCGAATGGATGGAAGCATGGGGACACAGGGGCATGAGCGAATGGATGGAAGCATGGGGACACAGGGGCATGAGCGAATGGATGGAAGCATGGGGACACAGGGGCATGAGCGAATGGATGGAAGCATGGGGACACAGGGGCATGAGCGAATGGATGGAAGCATGGGGACACAGGGGCATGAGCGAATGGATGGAAGCATGGGGACACAGGGGCATGAGCGAATGGATGGAAGCATGGGGACACAGGGGCATGAGCGAATGGATGGAAGCATGGGGACACAGGGGCATGAGCGAATGGATGGAAGCATGGGGACACAGGGGCATGAGCGAATGGATGGAAGCATGGGGACACAGGGGCATGAGCGAATGGATGGAAGCATGGGGACACAGGGGCATGAGCGAATGGATGGAAGCATGGGGACACAGGGGCATGAGCGAATGGATGGAAGCATGGGGACACAGGGGCATGAGCGAATGGATGGAAGCATGGGGACACAGGGGCATGAGCGAATGGATGGAAGCATGGGGACACAGGGGCATGAGCGAATGGATGGAAGCATGGGGACACAGGGGCATGAGCGAATGGATGGAAGCATGGGGACACAGGGGCATGAGCGAATGGATGGAAGCATGGGGACACAGGGGCATGAGCGAATGGATGGAAGCATGGGGACACAGGGGCATGAGCGAATGGATGGAAGCATGGGGACACAGGGGCATGAGCGAATGGATGGAAGCATGGGGACACAGGGGCATGAGCGAATGGATGGAAGCATGGGGACACAGGGGCATGAGCGAATGGATGGAAGCATGGGGACACAGGGGCATGAGCGAATGGATGGAAGCATGGGGACACAGGGGCATGAGCGAATGGATGGAAGCATGGGGACACAGGGGCATGAGCGAATGGATGGAAGCATGGGGACACAGGGGCATGAGCGAATGGATGGAAGCATGGGGACACAGGGGCATGAGCGAATGGATGGAAGCATGGGGACACAGGGGCATGAGCGAATGGATGGAAGCATGGGGACACAGGGGCATGAGCGAATGGATGGAAGCATGGGGACACAGGGGCATGAGCGAATGGATGGAAGCATGGGGACACAGGGGCATGAGCGAATGGATGGAAGCATGGGGACACAGGGGCATGAGCGAATGGATGGAAGCATGGGGACACAGGGGCATGAGCGAATGGATGGAAGCATGGGGACACAGGGGCATGAGCGAATGGATGGAAGCATGGGGACACAGGGGCATGAGCGAATGGATGGAAGCATGGGGACACAGGGGCTGAGCGAATGGATGAAGCATGGGGACACAGGGCATGAGCGAATGGATGGAAGCATGGGGACACAGGGGCATGAGCGAATGGATGGAAGCATGGGGGACACAGGGGCATGAGCGAATGGATGGAAGCATGGGGACACAGGGGCATGAGCGAATGGATGGAAGCATGGGGACACAGGGGCATGAGCGAATGGATGGAAGCATGGGGACACAGGGGCATGAGCGAATGGATGGAAGCATGGGGACACAGGGGCATGAGCGAATGGATGGAAGCATGGGGACACAGGGGCATGAGCGAATGGATGGAAGCATGGGGACACAGGGGCATGAGCGAATGGATGGAAGCATGGGGGACACAGGGGCATGAGCGAATGGATGGAAGCATGGGGACACAGGGGCATGAGCGAATGGATGAAGCATGGGGACACAGGGGCATGAGCGAATGGATGGAAGCATGGGGACACAGGGGCATGAGCGAATGGATGGAAGCATGGGGACAAGGGGCATGAGCGAATGGATGGAAGCATGGGGACACAGGGGCATGAGCGAATGGATGGAAGCATGGGACACAGGGGCATGAGCGAATGGATGGAAGCATGGGGACACAGGGGCATGAGCGAATGGATGGAAGCATGGGGACACAGGGGCATGAGCGAATGGATGGAAGCATGGGGACACAGGGGCATGAGCGAATGGATGGAAGCATGGGGACACAGGGGCATGAGCGAATGGATGGAAGCATGGGGACACAGGGGCATGAGCGAATGGATGGAAGCATGGGGACACAGGGGCATGAGCGAATGGATGGAAGCATGGGGACACAGGGGCATGAGCGAATGGATGGAAGCATGGGGACACAGGGGCATGAGCGAATGGATGGAAGCATGGGGACACAGGGGCATGAGCGAATGGATGGAAGCATGGGGACACAGGGGCATGAGCGAATGGATGGAAGCATGGGGACACAGGGGCATGAGCGAATGGATGGAAGCATGGGGACACAGGGGCATGAGCGAATGGATGGAAGCATGGGGACACAGGGGCATGAGCGAATGGATGGAAGCATGGGGACACAGGGGCATGAGCGAATGGATGGAAGCATGGGGACACAGGGGCATGAGCGAATGGATGGAAGCATGGGGACACAGGGGCATGAGCGAATGGATGGAAGCATGGGGACACAGGGGCATGAGCGAATGGATGGAAGCATGGGGACACAGGGGCATGAGCGAATGGATGGAAGCATGGGGACACAGGGGCATGAGCGAATGGATGGAAGCATGGGGACACAGGGGCATGAGCGAATGGATGGAAGCATGGGGACACAGGGGCATGAGCGAATGGATGGAAGCATGGGGACACAGGGCATGAGCGAATGGATGGAAGCATGGGGACACAGGGGCATGAGCGAATGGATGGAAGCATGGGGACACAGGGGCATGAGCGAATGGATGGAAGCATGGGGACACAGGGGCATGAGCGAATGGATGGAAGCATGGGGACACAGGGGCATGAGCGAATGGATGGAAGCATGGGGACACAGGGGCATGAGCGAATGGATGGAAGCATGGGGACACAGGGGCATGAGCGAATGGATGGAAGCATGGGGACACAGGGGCATGAGCGAATGGATGGAAGCATGGGGACACAGGGGCATGAGCGAATGGATGGAAGCATGGGGACACAGGGGCATGAGCGAATGGATGGAAGCATGGGGACACAGGGGCATGAGCGAATGGATGGAAGCATGGGGGACACAGGGGCATGAGCGAATGGATGGAAGCATGGGACACAGGGGCATGAGCGAATGGATGGAAGCATGGGGACACAGGGGCATGAGCGAATGGATGGAAGCATGGGGACACAGGGGCATGAGCGAATGGATGGAAGCATGGGGACACAGGGGCATGAGCGAATGGATGGAAGCATGGGGACACAGGGGCATGAGCGAATGGATGGAAGCATGGGGACACAGGGGCATGAGCGAATGGATGGAAGCATGGGGACACAGGGGCATGAGCGAATGGATGGAAGCATGGGGACACAGGGGCATGAGCGAATGGATGGAAGCATGGGGACACAGGGGCATGAGCGAATGGATGGAAGCATGGGGACACAGGGGCATGAGCGAATGGATGGAAGCATGGGACACAGGGGCATGAGCGAATGGATGGAAGCATGGGGACACAGGGGCATGAGCGAATGGATGGAAGCATGGGGACACAGGGGCATGAGCGAATGGATGGAAGCATGGGGACACAGGGGCATGAGCGAATGGATGGAAGCATGGGGACACAGGGGCATGAGCGAATGGATGGAAGCATGGGGACACAGGGGCATGAGCGAATGGATGGAAGCATGGGGACACAGGGGCATGAGCGAATGGATGGAAGCATGGGGACACAGGGGCATGAGCGAATGGATGGAAGCATGGGGACACAGGGGCATGAGCGAATGGATGGAAGCATGGGGACACAGGGGCATGAGCGAATGGATGGAAGCATGGGGACACAGGGGCATGAGCGAATGGATGGAAGCATGGGGACACAGGGGCATGAGCGAATGGATGGAAGCATGGGGACACAGGGGCATGAGCGAATGGATGGAAGCATGGGGACACAGGGGCATGAGCGAATGGATGGAAGCATGGGGACACAGGGGCATGAGCGAATGGATGGAAGCCATGGGGACACAGGGGCATGAGCGAATGGATGGAAGCATGGGGACACAGGGGCATGAGCGAATGGATGGAAGCATGGGGACACAGGGGCATGAGCGAATGGATGGAAGCATGGGGACACAGGGGCATGAGCGAATGGATGGAAGCATGGGGACACAGGGGCATGAGCGAATGGATGGAAGCATGGGACCACAGGGGCATGAGCGAATGATGGAAGCATGGGGACACAGGGGCATGAGCGAATGGATGGAAGCATGGGGACACAGGGGCATGAGCGAATGGATGGAAGCATGGGGACACAGGGGCATGAGCGAATGGATGGAAGCATGGGGACACAGGGGCATGAGCGAATGGATGGAAGCATGGGGACACAGGGCATGAGCGAATGGATGGAAGCATGGGGACACAGGGGCATGAGCGAATGGATGGAAGCATGGGGACACAGGGGCATGAGCGAATGGATGGAAGCATGGGGACACAGGGGCATGAGCGAATGGATGGAAGCATGGGGACACAGGGGCATGAGCGAATGGATGGAAGCATGGGGACACAGGGGCATGAGCGAATGGATGGAAGCATGGGGACACAGGGGCATGAGCGAATGGATGGAAGCATGGGGACACAGGGGCATGAGCGAATGGATGGAAGCATGGGGACACAGGGGCATGAGCGAATGGATGGAAGCATGGGGACACAGGGGCATGAGCGAATGGATGGAAGCATGGGGACACAGGGGCATGAGCGAATGGATGGAAGCATGGGGACACAGGGGCATGAGCGAATGGATGGAAGCATGGGGACACAGGGGCATGAGCGAATGGATGGAAGCATGGGGACACAGGGGCATGAGCGAATGGATGGAAGCATGGGACACAGGGGCATGAGCGAATGGATGGAAGCATGGGGACACAGGGGCATGAGCGAATGGATGGAAGCATGGGGACACAGGGGCATGAGCGAATGGATGGAAGCATGGGGACACAGGGGCATGAGCGAATGGATGGAAGCATGGGGACACAGGGGCATGAGCGAATGGATGGAAGCATGGGGACACAGGGGCATGAGCGAATGGATGGAAGCATGGGGACACAGGGGCATGAGCGAATGGATGGAAGCATGGGGACACAGGGGCTATGAGCGAATGGATGGAAGCATGGGGACACAGGGGCATGAGCGAATGGATGGAAGCATGGGGACACAGGGGCATGAGCGAATGGATGGAAGCATGGGGACACAGGGGCATGAGCGAATGGATGGAAGCATGGGGACACAGGGGCATGAGCGATGGATGGAAGCATGGGGACACAGGGGCATGAGCGAATGGATGGAAGCATGGGGACACAGGGGCATGAGCGAATGGATGGAAGCATGGGACACAGGGGCATGAGCGAATGGATGGAAGCATGGGGACACAGGGGCATGAGCGAATGGATGGAAGCATGGGGACACAGGGGCATGAGCGAATGGATGGAAGCATGGGGACACAGGGGCATGAGCGAATGGATGGAAGCATGGGGACACAGGGGCATGAGCGAATGGATGGAAGCATGGGGACACAGGGGCATGAGCGAATGGATGGAAGCATGGGGACACAGGGGCATGAGCGAATGGATGGAAGCATGGGGACACAGGGGCATGAGCGAATGGATGGAAGCATGGGGACACAGGGGCATGAGCGAATGGATGGAAGCATGGGGACACAGGGGCATGATGCGAATGGATGGAAGCATGGGGACACAGGGGCATGAGCGAATGGATGGAAGCATGGGGACACAGGGGCATGAGCGAATGGATGGAAGCATGGGGACACAGGGGCATGAGCGAATGGATGGAAGCATGGGGACACAGGGGCATGAGCGAATGGATGGAAGCATGGGGACACAGGGGCATGAGCGAATGGATGGAAGCATGGGGACACAGGGGCATGAGCGAATGGATGGAAGCATGGGGACACAGGGGCATGAGCGAATGGATGGAAGCATGGGGACACAGGGCATGAGCGAATGGATGGAAGCATGGGGACCAGGGGCATGAGCGAATGGATGGAAGCATGGGGACACAGGGGCATGAGCGAATGGATGGAAGCATGGGGACACAGGGGCATGAGCGAATGGATGGAAGCATGGGGACACAGGGGCATGAGCGAATGGATGGAAGCATGGGGACACAGGGGCATGAGCGAATGGATGGAAGCATGGGGACACAGGGGCATGAGCGAATGGATGGAAGCATGGGGACACAGGGGCATGAGCGAATGGATGGAAGCATGGGGACACAGGGGCATGAGCGAATGGATGGAAGCATGGGGACACAGGGGCATGAGCGAATGGATGGAAGCATGGGGACACAGGGGCATGAGCGAATGGATGGAAGCATGGGGACACAGGGGCATGAGCGAATGGATGGAAGCATGGGGACACAGGGGCATGAGCGA